AGCTTTCTTTGAAAAAAAAAATTGTTTTTCTAATTATAAAAGTAACTCATTGAAGGAAATACGGAAATTATGGCGAAATAGAAATTCAAAGTGTCTGTGTATTTCCCCCTCACTCTAGAGGCAGCATTATGTTGGCTAATGTCCTTGAATCACAGGGTAACCAGCATCAATAAATAGCTGTGTTCCTGGAAGTGTAGCAGGTGTGTTTGGGTGCATATCACGTCATTAAATTCATAGTGCAGTATGACTTACGGGTGCCCATCCCCTGCATTTCATAACTGGGGAAACAGGTTGAACCTGGGCGAGTGGATTGCTCCAGTCCTTAGCTGATGAGCCAGGCAGAAGGGTGGGGAGGGTTCTAAAAGGCAGCCAGGCAGTGCTCTAACCTGTCGCATGGGAATGAGGCAGGCTTGCATTGAACTCTGTTACCGCGGTGCATTTGGTTCTGAGCAGAACACTTAGGCTTGTAAGGGATAAGTGATTGCCTTTCACTGGGTCCAGCGTAGTTTCCAGGGATTAGCAATGAAGACTTAATCATTAAGTAATCATTAACAAGGTTCCTTGCTTTTAGAAAACATACCTTATCTTTGAACAAATAACATATGTGAAGTTCAGCAGTATCAGTTTATGACTATCCATAGTGCTTTACTTCTTGGGTAGGATATTTTCTTTTCAAATTTTTTTTAGCGCTGTCTTATATTCACAGCAAGCTTGAGCAGAAGGTACAGGGTTTCCTCATACATCCCTGCCTAGTGTCAATTTTTAAATCTCTTTAAGGTATGCCTCCCTCACTGCAGTCATTTTATGATCATAGATTTCTTCAACTCAGTGACTTAGCTCTTAGAAAAGAAGGTTCCCACTCTAATTTTCCAATAAATTTTTATATAACAGGATCAGTGGAAGCATTTAAAGCCTACCGCAATTAAATTCACAAAAGGTGGGGCTGGATGTGGTGGCATGCACCTATAATCCCAGCACTTGGGAGGCTGAGGCAGGAAGATCAGTGTGAATTTTGATGCCAGCCTGGGCTACATAGTGAGTTCAAGGCCAATCTGGACTGTACAGTGCGACCTTGTCTCTAAAATAAAACTAAACAACTCCAGAAAAGATGATGTGATGGCTTCGGGCTGACTGATGGCTCACTGACCTTGAGGAGGACAAATCTCCCGGGGGGCCGTGGTCAGTGCCAAGGACAGCGACGGGAGGATTGGGGGCAAGGGAAGAAGGTCACCAGAGGAACCTGTTATTTCAGTGTATGTGCTGAGTTCCCAGGCAGCAAGGGGAGAAAAGACACTGCCAGTGTGGGAGGGTGCGGCAGGACCCAGTCCTTGGAGCCGCCCCCAGGCCTCAAACCCCAGCTGTCCTCCAAATCCAGTTTCGTGGTCTCAAGCAAATGACTGAATGTCTCTGAGCCCCTGCTTTTTCAATGAATAACGTGAAGAGACTACATTTTCCTTTTTAAAAAATGATTTTTATTTGTGCCTATTACTTTTAGAAATCACTGGGTTTCAGTGTGAGGTTTTCATAGATGCACGTCGTCCTGTGCATCCCTGTTACCCTCTGTCACTCACCGCTCCCCTACCCTGTTCTCCTCCTCTTGTCTCATAACAGTCAAGGAAACGAAAGTTCTCATGTCACGGAGAACTGAAGGCCTGTGTCCCCCTCATGCCTATGTGATGGTACTTGGAGGTGAGGCCTTTACCAGACAATTAGATTAAGGTCATCAGTGTGGAGCCTCCTTGTTGGGATTAACAGCTTTATGAAAAGACCAAAACACAGGAAATCTCCATCTCAGTCTGCGTGTGCGTGCATTCATGTGCATGCTCACACACCGGCACGCCAAGGAGAGGCCACGTGAGGGCCTTAAGTGAGAGGCCCACTGAAGAGCCAAACCACGCTGCACCCTGCTCCTGGCCTTGCAGAAGCCTTCAGAACCTAAGAAGCAGCCTAAGTGCACTCCCAGCAAGAGCCCAGGGCAGCGCCCTCTGTGTGTGGGGCCACAGCTGCTGGCCAGGGAGGGGCGTGCGCGGCAGAGCTGGGAAGCGGCACGCCATGCACATCTGGCTCGCCTGATGTCTCCTGGGAAGGAAAGGAAAACCTGAGCCACATACTGTTACCCGGGCACAGCAAGAGGAGTGTCGGCCTGGGGAGCTGGAGGTGAACTCTGCAGGGCAGTCCCAGAAACCCCTGCAAGAAAGAGTGCAGACGGGAATTCAGGAAGTTGATACAAGTGACCTAACCCAGTGCAGGGTACAGAGTAAGTGCTCGAGTCAATGCTCTCGTTAGTGGTACTGCTGCTCTCACCACTGGCTTGCTGTGGCGTCTCCGCCAGGCCCTAAACATGGGCTGCGCTGTGTAATTCATCGCCACTTGGCTCAAAGATTCTCTTTGGTGCTTTGACCCAAAACCCAATCTCCATTTCTACTGATAATTTTATGCTTAGAGATGTTTTCTAGGTTTCCTTCAAACCTACAACTAAATTTCTGAAATATTACCCTTTAATAAATGTAAAACTATCTTGAGAGTTACTGAGATTTCTTTTTTTTTTTGTCCTTTTTGAGACAGGGTTTCACCATGCAGTTCAGGCTGGCCTTGAACTCACTTTGTAGCCCAGGCTGGCCTCATTACTCCCAGCGATCCTCTTGCCTCAGCCTCCTGAGTGCTGGGATTACAGGCGTGTGTTACCACGCCTAAGATTGTTTTTGCTTTTTATAGTCACCACCTCCCCACTTCCCACTTAAAAAAACTTTATTTTCATTATAAGAGGACTCTTTATAAAACTGTATAGGTATCATATACATAAATTTAAAGTTCTGTATGTATTAGTTTCTTCACTATTGCAATAACAAAATGCCTGTACTTTATAAAGTATTTTAGAAAGGGCAGAGATTTATGTAGCTCACTGTTCTGGTGGTTCAAGGCATGGAAACGAAGGCCAATGGCTTTGGCATTGGCGTGGCTCTGGCGGGGGCTGCATGGTAGATGGCCTTGAAGTGGTGGCATATTTGTGAGGGGCGGATCCATGGTGGGGCAGCAAGCTGGAGGGGAGGAAGGCCAGCCCACTCCTTTTCCTCTTTCTGATTCTGGTGCGTGCTAGGCCCGAGCTCTGCCACCAGATACATCGGAGCCCTGGGCCCACTGTTGTATAACAACCCTCTGTTAAGAACTGACTCCCGATCCTGCAGAAACTGCCTGAATTCCTTCCTGGTGTTCTAAGCCATCCCAGCCAGGTCTGACATCTGGAGGATCTCACTGCCTCTGAACATTACCACCCCGGGGCCTGTTTCCAACTCAGAAACTTTTTGGGGAATAAGCTACAGCTAACCCACAGCAATATGTGATATAAATATAAAACTACCTAGCTTTAATATAAAATTGCATTGTTAAAATCGGTAAAGAGCTGGGCACGGGGGCACCTGCTTGTAATCCCCGTTACTTGGGAGCCTAAGGGAGAACGATTGCTTGAGCCTAGGCAACATTAATGAGATCCTGCCTCAAAAAAAAAAAAAAAAAAAAAAAAAAAAAAAAGAAAAAAAAGCACTTCTAACTAATTCCATACTACAGTTATTGTCCACTTTTGGGTATATTGGTATATTTCTTTCTGGATTTATCTTAATGCTATATCTTTAGTTGTAATTACAGCATACATAGTTTACTTCTTTTTTCCTCACTTAAGATGTAATCGTTAAGTGTTTGCATGTTATTACTTAGCGCAGAATATATTTTGGTCTCCATTTTACTCATTTAATTGATGATATAGTTAACTGTGGAAACTGCTCGAGCCCTGGAATTAGCATTTTCTGCATTTTTCTGATACATGTTTAGAATTTGAGGAACTGGGTGGCTTCACTGATACAGAAGGATTGTCAAGATGCTGCTGGCACGGCCCGGAGGCCCTGCCAATGGCCTTCCCCCGGTGGCCTTCACCACCCAGTGCATTTACCATGGTCTGGGGCGAACCCTCATCTAAGTGGCCTTAAAAACTAAATTTTTGTCAGTAAGCAATAACCATAAGTAACGGCATAGGCACTTCTTAGAGCTGCATTCGTATCACCCTTGTGCTACTGAAGTGTGAAATGAGAGTGGCAGTTTATCAGCTGACACTGTCAAACAGCACAGTTCAGTAGTGGTCCAGGAAGCCACTCGTGTGGCCATCCCTCGACTGCCTTTTAAGGTAAAGTAAGCAAGAACAGTGATGGTCACCATGTAGTGGGTCTGTGCTGTGTGTGTCAGGAGCTGGGCCCACATTTACTATATCAACATGTGAGGTCCAGTCCCACAGTAACTTCTTCAGGTAAAAGCTCTTTTTGTTCCCATTTTGTAGGTAAGAAGACTAAGGCTCACCGAAGTGAGTGGCCCAAAGTTATGTGGCAGAGCTATAGTTTCTGTCTATCTAATACAAACACCTGATCTTAAGCACAGTTCAGTGGTTCCTTTCCTCAGATTGTTGATGCACTTGTTGGGACGGTCTTGTGTTGAGTGTCTTTACTCCGCTCCTGCCCACCCTGGGGATGTCCCCTGTGGCAGTGCCTCATTGGGAATATTGCTTTCACTCTCTGCTGTCAAGGACTGTGTTTTTCTAGCACTTACGTGGAGAAGAGCTTTGGTCTTTTCCTTAATTTTCTCCTTGGACCCCAACACGCTTCTGGAACAAGGGTCGCATTTTGTTGACTTTCTCTTCCAGCTGCTCAGGAAGGAGCTCTGAGGAAGACAGTCGTTAGAGCTGTAGTCCGGGCTGTGCCCAGCTCAGAAAGGAAAGGCGTTTCTTGTTGCATCATCTCTCTTTTGCTGTTTTGTTCTGAAAGTGGCTTCCACCATCCAGCGAGAGCTACTGTGCTGCACAGCTGGTTGGGAACAGGTTAAATCTCTGCTTTCTGATTTTGGCCCTGTACGTGGGAGAACTGCCATTCCTCTGAGTGAAGGTTTGCAGTTTGTGCAGAAGTGACTCAGTGCCAGATCGGATTTCCGTTCCAAACCTGTCTCTTGTGATTGCCTTTTAGAGAGTGTTGGAGCAGAACTACTGGACAAAAGCGAGCATCACACCTTCAGGTGTCATCGAGTTTGCAGTCGGATTGGTAAAGTTTAACCTGAAGCCTCCTTGCCTGCACGGAAGCGGAAGGATACGTGTTACTCACAAAGTAAAAGACATGGGCTTCAACCTGCCTTTCCACCTTTCCTACAAGTTCCGCTTGCTGTTGCTTTTTACCTTGTGCCTGACGGTGGTTGGGTGGGCCACCAGTAACTACTTTGTGGGTGCTGTTCAAGAGATTCCCAAAGCAAAGGACTTCGTGGTTGGTTCCATTAAAGCCGTAGCTTTGGGGAAAGAGGAAACACTTGCCAATGAAGCATCCGGGAAAAAAGCACAGCTTGACAATTGTCCTTTGGTGTCTCCAAACCTCAGTAAGTGTTTCTTCTTTTCTTTCTAATCTTTAAAAAGTACTATATAAACCTGTGGTTTAACACAGGTACCAAAATCTGAAGTGTATACACCTAGGCAACCAGCATGTAAATTAAGAAAGAGAGTCTTACTAGAATCCTCACGCTTCTTTGAGTCACTACCCAGGCTTCAAGACTCTACCACTGATCATTGGATTCTTTCCTGTGCTTGGTGCTACTGGTGATTGAGCCCAGGGCCTCTGCACTGAGCTATATCCTCAGTCCCTTTTTTATTTTTTAATTGAAGACAGGGTCTTGCTAAGTCACTAAGTTGTCCAGGCTAGGCTTGCACTGGAGACCCTCCTGTCTCAGCCTGGGATTATAGGCATGTTTTATCATGACCAACCATGTTCTTCCTGTCTTTAACCTTATGAACTAGAAGCATACATTCTAGACCCTTATGCTTGGCTTCTGCTGTTAAACATTATTCTCGTTATAGCTCTTCAGTGCGCTTTTACTTTGTTCAGTCTCATTGAAGTACGATATACTACTGTGTAAACATACCCAATTTTATTATCCGTCAGTGACATCCCAGCAGCATACAACAATGGGGCCCATTGATTTAGGCCCGTGGCTCTGTCTCACACCTCTCTGTCCTCCTAGGGGCAGCGGGCTTGCTTTCCCATGGTTTGGCAAGTGGAGGAATGCAAGCCGAGTAAGGCTGCTAGCCTCTTCTTGCCCAGAAGTATGGTGTCAGAGGCAGTGTCTGAGTTTTTAAATATTGTCTTTGGTGTTTGTTTCTTAAAATCCCAAGTTTTGATTCCCCTTTGATGTCTTTCCTTTCAACTTAACATGTTCATTGGTATTAGTGAACACAATACATTTGGGAGGAAAAGACCCCACTCTGTTATTTCTCATCTTCCTTCTCCTGAACCTCAGGGCACTTGTCCTTCTCCATACCCTCCTTGAGCCTGACTGGTACTGACCTCTCTTTCCAGAATGCCTTTCCTCAGTCAGTGTCTGCCTGGTGCTTTCATGTTTTGTCATCAAAATGTAGCTTAGATCTCTTGCAGGGGTTTCTGGGACTGCCCTACAGAGTTTATCTCCAGCTCCCCAAGCTGACACTCCTCTTGCTGTGCCCGGGTAACAGTGCGTGGTTCAGGTTTGCCTTTCCTCCCCAGGAAACATCAGGCGAACTGGATGTGGATGGCGTGATGCTTCCCAGCTCTGCTTCGCACGCCCCTCTCTGGCCAGCAGCTTGGCCCCACACACAGAGGGCGCTGCTTGCAGGGTGCCCTGGGCTCTTGCTGGGAGTGCGCTTGGCTGCTTCTTAAGTTCCGGAGGCTTCTGCAAGGCCAGGATTGGGTTGCAGCGTCATTTGGCTCTTTAGAGGGCCTTGCACTGGTTATGTCCTCATGTAGCCTCTCCTTGGTGTGCCAGTGTGTGAGCAAGCACATGAATGTGCTTGCGTGTGCACACAAATACCCAGACTGAGATGGAATTTTGTGCGTCTTGGTCTTTTGTAAGGGTATTAATCCCAACAAGAAGTCTCCACACTGATGACCTTAATCCAACTGCCTGTTAAAGGCCTCTCCTCCAAGTACATCACACTGGGGACTCAGGGTTCAACATATGAACTGAGGAGGACACAGGCCTTCAGTCCATGCATCCTTCCCAAATGAATCTTGGCCTCGTACTGTATTCATCTTGACTTGAAAAACCTAAAGCATTATACTTGAGTGTATATTCCACTCAGATCATATAAGTCAAGATTATATGTAAACCAATTACATGATCCCCCTTGCTCAGTATCTTCATGATGTATTTAAGCAGTAAATTCTTCCATAAAGAATACATGGAGCTGGGTGTGGTGGCACATTCCTGTAATCCCAGAACTCTGGGAGGCTGAGGCAGGAGGATTGCAAGTTTGAGCCCAGTGCAGGGAAATTAGTGACTTAGCAAGGCTTTGTCTCCAAAAAAAGTGTGTATGGGGTGACTGGGGATGTAGTTCAGTGCAGATGCCCCGGGTTCAGTCCCCAGTAACGCCCCCCTCCCCCACTTGCCAGAAAACGGAATAGATGAGTGTTGACTCAGTTCAGAGCACACGCTGAATTAAGAGTATGACATAAGTGGTATGTCTTAAGATAGGCAATTGGTAACATGGTAAGGCAAATGAATTTTATTACCTGGCCACACAGGAAGCCATCTTAATGGCCACCCCTCCTCTCTGGGCAGCAGCTCTTGTAGCGTTTCTTCCATGTAACTCCGTTTCCTATTATTTGTTCTCAGGGTTTGACCGCTGGTCTTATGTCTTGCATACAGCCTTTCAGGAAGGGTCTTGTAGGCTGGCTCTCTTGTGGATGGCTAGACATGGTTACCTGCTTGTGGTGCGGCTGGGCGCTGGAGCCTGATGGAAGCACCATGGCCAGGTTAAGGACTGTCACAGGCAGCAAGGAACGGCGACTTATGTATAGGAAGGCTTGTGATGACCTTGCTTGGAAGGGGATAACACAACTTGCAAGCAGTTTAAGGCTTTACAGTCTGACCCATATATGTGGAGTTAAAAAGAAAAAAACCTATGTGGGAAACAGCGCAGTTCCCTAACTGAGCTCCTCCTTCTCTCTTATCAGCACACCCCATTTATCCGCATGAAAGAGAAGGGCCGGGTGCTTCAGTCTGATATTTGGAGCCTTGCATAGGACTTGGTACCATCCTTGGGTTTTACCTTGTCAGGCCGCTTCCAGGCTCCCTGAGTGAATGCTTTACCTGGAAAGGTCTGCCTTGGAGGTGCAATGGGAGACTTGTGCTGCAGCTTCCTGCGGGAGCGGGGCCAGCTTCTACTTCTACATCTCTCTGGTGCTTTGCCTTCAGGGCCTTATTCAGGTTCTTGATTCCATGAATGCTCTTGATTTTTCAGAGATCGTACCCTCTTCTGGGATTAAAGAGGCCCGAGCAAGTTTGAGGAGAGTCTTGGTCTAGTGCTGATCTCTGCTGGGCCCCAAGGTCACCAGGATAGGCTGTATTTCCTACCCACGGATGGGCCTTGGAGCCAGAGTTGATTACCCAGCCACAAGGAAATGCTTGTACATATCAGTTATATGCTTTCGCCACAATAATCTTTGTCACATGAGCTCAGTGGCTAAAGTACAATGAGTACTTGACTAAATGAGACTTCAGTAGAAATAAGAGCTGACCCTCCTGTAGTGCTCACCGCTTCATCTATATTAGCTCATGGAAGCCTCTTAGCGTTTAATGTAACCGTTTCTTTTATGACCCGCTTCCTGTGTTGATTGTAGGGGGCCAGAGCAAGCTCATTTTCAAACCAGACCTCTCACTGGAAGAAGTACAGGCAAAAAATCCCAAGGTGTCCGGAGGCCGGTATCACCCTGAGGAATGTAAGGCTTTGCAGCGGGTTGCCATCCTTATCCCCCACCGGCACAGAGAGAAACACCTGATGTACCTGCTAGAACATCTGCACCCCTTCCTGCAGAGGCAGCAGCTGGAGTATGGCATCTATGTCATCCATCAGGTGAGTGCAGAGCAGCCCTGAGTCCTGTGTGCCTCCCTCTGAGGGGCCGGGTCACGTGACCCTTTGTCTGTCTTGGGTATGAAGTACCTCAGACTGTCATCGAAGAGAGAATTCTGTCAATCTGACTTCTCCTTGAAAGGAATAGAGGAAATTATGTCCCAGGATGTGGAGTCATGGGACCAAATTCTGAGAAATTTTACCTTGCTAAAATGAGCCTCATTGAGAAGTCTGATTTTGAAGCCCTTCCATGTTAGCCAATGCCTGCCCTAAGATTGCCCCCAGGTCTACTGGCCCCTTGATGCCCTGTTCTGCATGTGCTCTGCACTGCGGGCGAGCTGTTGGACTTGACTCTCATTACTGTGTGTAGCTGCTCAGCGGAGATCTAGGCAGGATTGGCAGAGTACTGAGTGTTCACAGCCATTGGGTTCTGGGACTCTTCACATTTCTGCCTTTAATTTTGCTGCTGTTAATTAGATCAGATGTGCTATGTTTAATTTTCACCGTCTTGATTCACTTATTTGGCTTCCAGAAGCACCATTTTAGCAGGAACACTATGTAAATGTAGGCTGCTTTTGGAGAGTTTAGTTCTAAGGTCAGTGGAGTGGGTGACTAACGATGACTCTATTTGGTATTAAAATTTATCAGAAGAAAAATAAGGCATCCACTTAAAATATCCGTGTCTAAGCTTTCTAGAATCGCTCTGGGCCATCCAAATAACTAACGTCCACTCAAATTTTTACAAATCCTCAGACTGAAAACAAAATCATTAACTACTTACTACTGGTTAAAGCTGGTAATATTTATTTAGAAAAACTTTTGACAACTTTTCACAACTCACAGGGTTACCTCTGCTGACCTGATGGTAAGCCGGGGCTCTTGAAAATCAGGGTGCTTATTTCGTACATCTTTGCTCATTTCTTGAAGCAAAATTTTATGGTTGTTTTATCATTATTTTTAACGTCCTTGATCACAGCTGTGATTTATTTGGTTCTGGGTTCTTACTTTAAATGGAAACCCCCAAGGCACAGGGCCATTTTTGTGAATGGAAGCATATGTTGCTTTGTGTTATTCTTTTCAGGAAAGCTGCGGTTACATCTGAGAACTGCTTGCCCTTTCATGGGATAAACGATTTATTAAATTCAAATTTACTCTGATGAAATTTGATCCAACTAGCCGTGAAAAAAACGAGTACTGTAAAATCTTCTGCACGCCATAGCTTTGCTCATATTACAAGACAAATTGTGTCCTTTTCTTACCCAGGGACAATCTCCAGCCACAAGGTCACTGTAAGGATTAGCTTCCACCAGTAGTGTTGTAACAGAATTTTCATGCAGGGATTTCCAAGAAACTTTGAAGTAGCTTAGAAATATTTGCTATAGTCCTCTCTGTTTAAAGGCCACAGTTCCTTGGGCCTTCCTGGCAAACTAGTAGTTACATGTGTTTGAAACTCACTGTCAATTTGTTATAGAGGGTGAGCGCTCACAGAAGCAGTAGTCCTAGTTGGTGTAACTATATGAATAAGAGGTTTTAGAGTTCCACATGGAATAAGGAAAAGCACCTTTCAAATGTTTTTTTCTTTTTTTGTACTGGGAATTGAACTCAGGACCTTGTGCTTTTCAGGCAGGTGCTGTGCCACTGAGCTATATCCCTGGCTCTCCTTTCAAATTTTTGAGTTTTTAGAAAACTTTATTGTGGTAAGAACACTTAACATGAGATATAGCTTAATAAAATTTAAGCGTATTATATATTATTGTTGATTCTTCAAGTTTGTTCTAATCTTTTTTTTTTTTTTTTTTTTTTTGTTTTTTTTTTTTTTTTTTTTTTTTTTTTGGTATTGAGGATTGACCCCAGGATTTCACGCTGAACCACATCCCCAGCCTTTTTCTTTCCTGTGTTTCAGATAGGATCTCACAAAGTTACCAAATTAATAAGGTTGGGCTTGACCTTTGTAATCCTCCTGCCTCAGTCTCCCAGAGGGCTGGTATTACAGACGTGTGTGACCATGCCCAGCTAAAATTTTTAATTGTGGTAAAATACACATAACATAAAATTTACCCTCTCAGGCAGCTTTTTTCTTTTTTCTTTACTTTTACCATCTTAGCTGTGTTTAAGTGTTTATCAGTAGTGTTAAGAATATTCACAGTAGAAATGACACAGAGCTCCACTAATCAAGATGGTATGAGCATCTTCACTGAAGATGACAATATGTAATATAACAACCATTGTTAATTCCTATCATCTTGTTTTGAAATTCTGTATCATTTTTATTGTTTTTGTGTTGTTTTGTTTTTGTCTTTGTTGTAATTTTATTTTTTTCTCTTTAAAAGAAAGAAAAGACAAAAAAAGAAGATTCACAGTAGTGTTAAGACTGTGTAGCCAATCTTCAGAATTTTTTCTTCTAGCTGTTCTGAAATTCTGTACTATTAAACAACAACGCTGCAGGCTTAAATGAATCTCTTAAAGATACGGATTGTAAGTATGTATGAAGGACAAAGAAACAAGGTCTTTTATCATCTTCTATAGGATTTTAAGTGTGTTAACAAGAATAATAGCAACTCTTTAGTTGGAGCTGAATGGCAGAACAGCGTAGCTCAGGGACTCCTCACAGTTTAGTATCTGTTGTTTACAGGCTGGAGCTAAAAAGTTTAATCGAGCGAAACTCTTGAATGTGGGCTATCTGGAAGCTCTCAAGGAAGAGAACTGGGACTGCTTCATATTCCACGATGTGGACCTGGTGCCGGAGAATGACTTCAACCTTTACACATGTGAGGACCAGCCCAAGCACCTGGTGGTTGGCAGGAACAGCACTGGGTACAGGTAAGGCAGCCCAGACGCGGGGCCTCTGGTGACCAGGCCTGTGTGGAGCACAGTGTCCAGATTGTCATAGCAGAATGAGAAGTAGGAAGAAAATGTTCCATTGTTTTCTTAAAATGCAAAACAGAAATAAGAAAATGTAACAGGGAAGAAGAGTCATTTTATAATCTTGACAGAGGTTCACACAAGGAACAGAACCCAAGAGAGAATATAATCTGCATTGCAAATGGCGGCCAGCTCACCCCACAGTGCCCATGTTGGGGACCTTTGCAAGTTGTCCCATGTGAGTACCGCCTGCCCGGCAGATTTGTTTGTCCCTGACTCCCTCTCTAGGGCGCAGTAAAATGGTGACCCTTAGGCTAACTTTCAACTACCGCACCTCTCTTTCTAGACTGCAGCCTCTTTCCAGAGTTCTGGGGCCATGAAGAGGGGCGTAGCTGTCTATTGAATAGTCTGCTCGGGAGTCAGGACACCCGAGACAGGTTCTTTCCTCTCAGAGCCACCATGGGAAGAGCTAGGTACCACCGTCTCTCCGTGGCTCCCTGCCTCTACCCAGGAGAGGATTAACTGGTTTTGAGCCCTGTGTTCTACCAGCTCCTCGTTTAGCACAATCGAAGGGAGATGGTGGACAAGAAAATGTCCCTAAAATGAAACTGTGTTTGCCTGTGCGTGCACACTGCCAGCTTCCCCCCAGCCCTGTCATGCGCGGGTAACTGGTGCTTACTAGGCTTGGTGCCCCAGGACCAGTGCGAACAGGCAGAGTATTTGCCCTGGTGAATACTGGTGGGGGAGATGGAGCTACAGTGGAACTACATTCACAGTGTATCTCTGCAAATACAACTGCAAGCACTTAGTAAGGAGGGAGGGAGGGAGGGAGAGGGACAGATGCAGAGATGGAGAATGTGTGGGAGAGTTTGAGGGAGATCTGTAAGACTGCAACATACATGCAGTTCCACCACTGTGCATTCTGAATGAGTATGAAATCAAAACTAACTATCTTCCTGCCTGGCTTGATCCTGGCTTCCATGTTGCTCTTACACTGTATAGGTCTCTCCCTTTGGAACTATTTAAGAGACTTCTTGAATACCATGGACTGTGACTTTTGCCCTGGCTACTGGCTTGAAACCCATTCCCTGTGTAAAGAGTGGGACAGAAACCAATATAGTACCTAGAAGGAGCTGCGATGGGTGAGAACACGACCCTTAAGAGCACCTAGGGAAGTGTTTGACTGTTCCAAGGGGGTTTGGCCCCTTCATCTGGTGAAGCCTGTGGGATTCCCAGCAGAGTTCCCCACAGAGTTCCAGACATGTCAGAGAGCCAGCCCCATACCGAGTCATTGCTATCTGAGAGTCAGTGTGTGGGAGAAGCAAGTGATGAGGCTGTGTTTGGTCTGGTAAGTTTGGATTTCCTGCAGGAGTGGGTAGGGAGCTGTAGACACCCGCTTCCAGCTGGGGAGTGACAGGAGGCAGTTCCGTTCAGCTGGGCTGTGCAGAATTGGATGGAACACGTCGGGCTGAGGTTGAGGGAATAGATGGCACATGCCTGAGTTAGGGCAGGTGCTGTGGGGCTGGAGGACAGGGAGAGAATCACAAAGTGTTTCTCTTTGGGCGAACGTGATTTTTGGCTCTGAATCTTATTATCTAGCGGTGGTGTTTCCAGGTTTCTTTGAGCTGCTTCTGCTTTGGAGAGCACAGTATGCCATGGACAGGGACCTTGGTTTTCTCAAAGCATGTCACCATCTGCTCATTGATTGTGTGAAATGAACAAAATGTCATAGAACATCTGTACTTCAGCCACTTTCCAGGGATAATAGCTTGAAACTTTTCATTGCCCAGTGCTTTCTGTACAATCACATATGATTGTTTAATGAAAGGCCTCGGGCTGGGATTCCAGACTGTATCTGTTTTAGTTACTTTTCTATAATCCCAGATGCCTACAAGTTAAGGGAGGAACAGTTTACTACAGCTCACAGTTTGTAGAGGTTTTGGTCCATAGTTGGCTGGTTCCAAGGCAAGACAGCATGGCAGAGGGCATCACAGAGGAGAAAGAGTCCATGGCAAAGCAGTCAGGAGAAAGCAAAGCAGCAGAAGCAGCATGCAGCAGCACCAAGCCTGCCTGCTGTCTTTTCATTCATATTCCACCCAAGTTACAAGTCTGTTGATGGGTGCCACTGATACTGAAGGTGAGGCTTCCATTATCCACCCCCTTAATCCCAGCATCACACCCTTAATCCGCATTCATATACCGTAACCCGGCCACCTTTAAAACTCCCCATCTATAACTGTATGAGGCTTTGTGGGGACATCTAGATACAAACCATAACAGTATCTTTGTATCACACTGAAGAGAGAAAGTTTTGTTCTTGGGGTTTCCTGTTGGGAAGTGATTTTAACTTGTCCTTTGGCATCACCACTGTGGATGCTACACAGTCTAAAAAGAATGTCCTTGCATGAATCTTGCTGTTTTAACTTGCTAATGTAACTAGTCTGCCATTTCTTTTACAATGAGATATCAGAAGGCCTTTGTCACCCTTGAACTGACAGGTTTTCTTAATGTGAGTCAGCTGATTGATTGTGTCTCACTTTCTGCTCTGGATCAAAGACACACTGAGCCAAAGCATGGCCCTCTGTAGAAACCGAAAGGACTCTTACTAGGAGATCAAAGTGCCAATGTATCTTCTACCTTCATCTTCTGTTGTGATTTAAATTTTCTCTGGTTCTTGTTTGCCATTCATACTGATCTATTTTCCAGTGTGTATCATGCCAACACCTCAGCATTTGAGGCTGGGGAGAGGTATGGAAAGTCATATTGGGGGTGCCCTTCTCCCTTTTTACTTAATCTTTGCTAATCTTGCCCATGACTGGCAAGTTCAGGTGCAGGCAGCTAAATGTCTGTCCCCTGCCGGTACCTGTGTGGCACTGTCTCACCACGGAGCACAGGCTTCATCAGCATAGCAGCTGGTGAGTATAAGTGCAAGTGATGTTTTCACCTACCCCACATGCAGAGGAAAGAAGCTAAAGAAACGTGCCACATGTGCCTGGGGTTGGACAAAACCGGAAGGAAATCTTGATTATTACTGACTGTGGGTCAGTGTTAAAGCTCTGGATAAGCCTGTGAAGATTTTACTTGAGTTCCTTTGGCACTGCCTGCCTTTGACAGGATGCTACCGTTATTTTACGACTATACCTCACCCCAGGCAGATGGGCCTTTAAAATTACGTAAGCCGGATCCAGGGCTAATTAAATATTTGTGCTTTTCCAGGTAGGAGCAAAACCCAAAAGCAAAGATAGTCAATAAATGTGGAGACAGCTGCCACATACCAGGCAACTGGGAAACCAAGAGTTCCTTAACTGTTAAGCCCCAGACTTGTGTCCTGTTATTTCCCGCTCCAGCAAAGATGGTCTCCAGTGCTCCTCACACAGCCCTAGCTTTTTATCACCAGAGTCTTGGCTACCAGGAGATCCCCTGTTTTCCTGCCTCTCTGAATCCTTCTAGGCCCAATTTCTCCTGATATGGTGGCAACTCCTTGTTCAAATCCTGGGGAAGCTCACCTGTCCTGTTGGATCATGACTTCCTAGAGATCAGGGACTCAGCCAGTGGTCTTGTGCATAGCTGGTCATGGGAGCAGTGGGTCCTACCCATGCATCCATGCACCCGTGCCAGTTCTCTGTGGAGCCTGCTCCTTGGTGCTTGGCAGGTTGTGTCTGGGTAGTTGTTCTACTCATGGGGTCCTGCTGAAGCAGCTGTCTCTGGTAGTTAAGAACCCTTCCTAGTCAGACAGAGTCTGGTAACAATGGCTGTAAGTTACACCTACCAGATGCCTAGACCAGTGATAGCCACCTTCTAAGTACTTTATTTCCCTTTGTTTTAAGTTACAAAAATGCCATTTCCCAAACTTTTAGGGGTATATAACTAAATCTGTTTTTATTATGGGCCAAAAGGGTCTGCAGTTTGTACTTAGAACAGGGAGATAAGCAGCTGGACTCCAGGTTAGCTTTTTGGATGTCACTTGTAAGAGGGCAGGGGTCTACATGTTTACTGATCTTTCCTTTTCAGGTTTGTTCTTATTTGGAGAAATAGCAGTAGTAATTGGTCCTGGAAAACTTTGAACTAAACTTAATTAAAATTAGAGATCCTAAATATTCACATCTTTTATTCCAAAACATTCAAGTAATGGAACTGTCTTCATTTGCATCTCTGACTTGTTACTGAGTTATATTTAAGGATGATATGTATTTCTCGGATCTGTTCATTTGTCTGCTGATGTCACATAGAACTGTTAACACCTCATCTTTTTCCCAGCCATTTTCTCTTTCCCTATTATTTCAACTGATTCTTCAGAACTTAACTCCATGGTTCTACCCTTTGAGCTCTTCTCCTCTCATCCACCAGATTGGTTTTGGGTGATTTCTTCCATTCCCATGTATTCAGGTGTAATCTGCTGTGGGCTTATTTTCAAAGCATTATCTCTAGGCAGCCTTATGAGCTTCTCTGCCTTCTTTCCCTATTGGGAAAGCCCCAGGGGGGAAATCTCAAACTGAATTTATCCAAGACATAGTTTTCTGTGTTCCTCTCAAAACCAAATTATTATTCTATGTACCCTATTTTCATAAAAGGCACTATTGTCTAACTAATTGCCCAAGCCAGAAACCTCAGAGGTGGTGGTTGATATGTTGGGTTTTCTAGGAAAAGAACTCGAAGGCAGAGATTTGCAATGTGTGTGCATACAGAGCATGCACAGGAGCTTTCTCTTCCTCTTGATCCCTCCTCTGTGTAAAGAGGGAAAGTGAAGGGGTAACATGTTCACCATGACATTCATTCCTGTTGAATCTGGATGCAACTTCTGGAGGCTTCGTAACCTAGCACTCCTGGCAACTGTTGCCATTCACTGGACTGGTATAAGCGGAAATCAGTCATCCGGATCTGATGCTGTGGTGCACATCCGGACCTCTGCATACAAACTTATTAATACCACCTGGGTGGCAACTTGCCTAGTGAGCAGAGGTGAGCATTGCCTGGACAGAGGAACAGAGGCAAGGCATCAGGCCAGGGGTGCTGGGAGGTAAGGGTCAGGCAGCAGCGAGTGTGTGGAAGTCATGGTTCGCTGTGTTCTAGAATGCCTGCCCTGAAATCAGAGACCTCTGAAGAGTGCGTGCAGAAGACAAGGGCTTTGCACTAACATCCCTACCTTTTCTCTCTTCTCTTTTGCTCCAGGTTACGTTACAGTGGATATTTTGGGGGTGTTACTGCCCTAAGCAGAGAGCAGTTTTTCAAGGTGAATGGATTCTCTAACAACTACTGGGGATGGGGAGGCGAAGACGATGACCTCAGACTCAGGTGAACAAAAGAGAATGGTCCCCTTCACAGGCTCTGCTATCAGTGGTGGCTCTGGAAACCCGTGTTGATGTATAGTCCCTGTAGACACCAGTCTGGTGCGTCCCAAGGCTGCAGATTTGGCTTAAAGGATGGCAGGGTATGAAGGGAGGGACCCAAATTATTGTTCACCAGGGGTAATTTAGAAGTGATGGAAGGTATTCTGCTCCTGTGTTTGGGGTACAGAAGGTTTGGTGGAGGCCTCTGAAGCTCATCAGTGCTGAGGATTTACCAGGGCAAGATCTCACCAGTGATGAAGAACTCCAGACCACAGGGTGTTTGTGAAACTGGGACACAAGAGAAGGGGCTGTTAAAGCCTGTGCTTTTTCTCAGACCCCAAAGACCCCAGCACTATGCCCAGCATGGTATTCAGAGCTGGTAATACCAGTGCCTCAGGATGTCCTTTCCCACATGCAGTGGAAGCAGCTGCTGGCCCGGCTGTTGGCCTTACCCCAGGTTCACTAGGACCACTTTCTGCTCTGGAGGGCTCGAGGGACTAGCCTACCCAGGATGGGTGGCCTCCTCTCTCTACTTCCTCCCTTGAACTTGGGTTAGGGGGCCAGATAGTTATAGGTATCCCAGCTCCCAGAAATCAGTAACTATTTAAGAGCCTACTGTCAGTATGATAGACGTGTAATCACAGGGTCTTCCCAGCTGTCAGGAGCCTTTCCCCTTTCTCCTGTTGTACCTTTTGCAAAGGAAATTTCTAAGCTTGGGTTTTGAATGAGTCACATGTGTGACTATCAGAAGTTTCCAATTGCTTTGGCATGAAGAAGTTAAAGGCTCCGTGCTGATCTTGTTCCCGAGCCTAAGCTAAGAGGCTCTGGAATGTTTCTGGCAGGAAGGCGTAGATTTTCCCAGCTGACGGCTTCACGTGACCGGCTGATAAGCAGCCTATGTGGCCATGGCTTAGGAACTGGACGCAGGGTGCCTGCTGTGTTGCTTTCAGGGAAGAGCAGCAGGGGCTAGAGGTAACCAGTACCCCTCTCCCTCCCCAGATCCATCTCATGGCCCAGCTGGGATGTTTAGTAGATGTGTGCATTCATTACCTATTTTCACTGTCTCTTTTCCTGCTACTCCACAGCTTCCAAGTAGAGGGGAGCCCCAAGCATTAGTTTTATTTGAGAAGAACATCATAGCCTTTAGAATGATTTTCAGCTAATGCTACGGCTGTCAGAATGATTTGAACGTGAAAGTTGGTTGAGATTCATTGACTGAATATTTACCTCCACCTTCCTTGCTATCACTTAATGCACTTCAGTTTGCAAAGCATGTTCCTTGTGACTTATGTTGCTTAAGTCTTTCAAAGCAGCTCTGTGTCACCACTGACATTTTACAGGTGTGGAGACCAAGTCCTACAACAGTGAACTGACTTACTGAGATTATAAACAGGAGCCTAGATAGATTTGAACCTAGATCTGAGGATTTAAAGCCCATAACCTTAAATAAATGTTCCTTTCTTTGCTAAGGAAGATAGTGCTAAGTAGAGATTGTAAGAGACTCGATTGTCCTATTCCTCAGGATGTATCCAAACACTAGATATATTATCAGGTTTTTGAAAAAGTGACTAGAAATTGACATATCCCCATGGTGCTTCAGTTGTAAGTGATAAATGTGATTCTTTTATGAATTTGTTGCCTGAGGTCTCACCAGTGTAAGAGACTCTGAGTGTGAACTTCTGCAGGTGATTCTTTTTAAGTGCCCAGTGCTAGGTAAGTGGAATAGGTGTAGTTTTTAATCTCTTCTGATATTTTTCTAGGGTTGAGCTCCATAGAATGAAGATCTCCCGCCCGAAGCCTGAAGTGGGTAAATACACAATGATCTTCCACACTAGAGACAGAGGCAACGAGGTGAACATGGACAGGTACGTCCTGGGTTCGCATCTCTGGCAACCCGCACCCAGTCCCTTCTGTCACATTTGCTGAACTCCATCAGCTACGTAAGTTCCTTTCATTAAAAGCTTTTTATGAAAGAAATTTTCAAACAGAAACAAAAGTAGGGAGAAGGGTACATGGAAGCCTCCTTGTCTTCCTTCCTTTCCTGCCCTACTAGATCATTTAGAAATAAATCAAAGATGCCATAAATCTTGGATGGAAATCCTGCAGTATGCACCCTTGATATATAAGAATTCTTCCGAAAAGAATTGCAGTTCCATTATTATACCTAACATAAAATTAGCAATCCTTCCTAAATATCATCAAATGTCAAGTTTCCCTGATTATCTCGTAAGTGCCTTAAAAACAGAACAGTTGGTTTGTCCAGATGAGTATGTAGATGGGATCTACACTACATTTGGATGATCTTTTAAAATTGAAACACTCCCCTTCCTTTTCCCCTTGTGATCTACTTGATAACCACACCAGGTCATTTGTTCAACAGAATTTCTTACCTTATGGATTTTTGCCAAGTGCATCCTGTTGGATACTTTAATATCTTCCTATACATTTTCTGAACTTTTTTTTTTATAAAATGGGAGTTAGATTTCTTTAGGTTTCCGCAAGCTTGAACAGATTTCGGATACTATTTTTGGGCAGAAACACTTCATGGGTGGCATTGTGTCCCTCCTCTTGTGTTTCCCCAGGAGCAGTTACTATCTGGGTGTGTATCTGTTGAGATGCTAGGTAGTTCAGATGTTGCCAGCCTGACCCACAAATCATTAGATTCCTCTTCTGTTTTTCTTGCTTTCTTTTTTTTTTTTTTTTGTCTTTTTGAGACAAGGTCTTGCTATGCAGTTCAGGCTGGCCTTGAACTTACTTTGCATCCCAGGCTGATCTCACAACGATCCTCCTGCCTCATCCTCCCGTGTGCTGGGATTACAGGTGTGCACCACCATGCCTGGCCTCCTCTTCTGGTTTTCACCTAATGATTTTCAGCATCCACTGATGCTCACTGTCTGAAATGTATTAGTCATCCAAAAATGTATTGTTTAACATAAGGTTAATTCTGTCATTTCTTCTTTGCTCATTACATTTTTCTCCACAAAGAAGGATTTGTCTTTTTCATCTATTCTTGAGTACCCTGGGGTGTAGTTTTCAGCAGAGTCAAGGGAAAGAATCAAGCATTGATGTGTCATTTTTGAGAATAATAAGCCAGTGTTGCCTAGCGTCTTTCAGGATGTAGTTAATGTCCTCTTTGATACTCACGTTGTCTCATCTTTGGCCAATGGGATCCTCTTCAAACTGGCTCCTGCATCCTTTCAACATAGCCACGGTAGTCTTTCAGAGCTTCCTGTCTTGTGCTCTGGCCCTAGGCATTGGCCCTTTTACCAAGTAATTCTGGAAGATAAGCCAATTCTTTTTGTGGCTCTGGTTCAAGAATATTTCTTTGTTCTGAGTTTTTTTCCCCTGAATTTTTAAACAAGTTTAAAGAGCTTTGAACCTTTTTGTGAAGAGTCTGCCATCCCAACAAAGCAGCTCTTTCTGTTTTCAGTGTTTTTGTAGGTGTGCTTTTTTAATCTTTAAAATTTAAAAATCATTGAATAGTTACAAAAGAGTACTCACAAATTCTATGAAAAGTATGGCGATTCTGGATACTCCACCCCCGGTGGGTATTCATGGCCTGTGTACCTCCCTAAACCCACTTCCTCCCCTCCCGCCCCACTCCACCCCAGGTCACACTGTCCTGAATTTCTGTGATAATTATGTATGATAATAATAGTTTCTATTGTTTCTTATTTTCACTTATAGTTGAGTCCCTAGACAAAAGAGTGCTTAGTTTTGCCTGTTTTTCAACTTTCTGTAAATGCAACCGCGCTGTATGTCTTCTCCTCTGGCATTATTTAGCTTAACATTAGGCTTCCTCGCTCCGTCACTGTAGTTCTCACTGCTGAGATCCGAGAGCCATTCCCTTCACAGCTCACTTCCCTCCCCACTTTCCTCGGCTCCCAGCGCTCCGATGCATTATTGTCCTCAAATGCATCCTGACCTTTTGGGTGTCTGCGTACCTTGCCTGCGTCTCCGCTGAAGTGTTCTTTCCTTCACCTTCTTCACTTAGCGACCTGCACCTCTTCTAAGCCTCAGTGAAATTCACCTTCTCTACCTGCCTCGCCAGGCTCCCCCATGAGGTTAGTGCCCTTCTATATACAGCCTCGGGGTTATTCAGACTCCTGTTAAAGCTGCGTGCTCCCCACCTGCAGACACCAAACTCCCCTAACAGCACTGGAGGGCTCAGAGATTCCCTGAAACTCAGCCAAGGAGCTGGTAGCCGCAGGTGACACCCGTCCTGTTGTATTGGGGTACTTGTCCTTCCTCTGTCCTGCAAGCTGGGGACTCCTAGGTATCTCTTTCACCATTGGTCCCACGATCTCACATGGACTCTGACATATGAGCACATCACTGCTGTTACTGTCTATTACATTCAATGGAGAAAACAAATGTTTTTTGCTGTGGGAAACCCAATAAGTGTAATAACTTATAACATGTATGTGCTTACATACTTTTGCCCCATTTTGGGGCGAGGCAAAAAGCAAAGGAGACATATTGAGACATATGCCAAATTCTTGTTTTATCATTCACACTTGCTCTTTTTTATCTTTAGGATGAAGCTCTTGCACCAGGTGTCACGGGTCTGGAAAACAGATGGCTTGACGAGTTGTTCTTATAAATTATTGTCTGTGGAACACAATCCTTTATATATCAACATCACAGTGGATTTCTGGGCTGGTGTGTGACCCTGAATCTTTTGGCATTTGAGAAACTGATTGCAATAATTTTGGCCTAGAGACGCTCCCTAGTAGCACACATTAAGGACTTGTTGCAGGTGATTATTGAGCTGAATGTTTCCTTTTTGTATTTTCTTAGCAGAGCTCCTGGTGATATGGAATGTAAAACATTGTAACAAGACAGGTTTCTTAGTTGCTTTGATCATTTAGGGTTAAATATTGTAATAGATACTTGAAGAACAGTATAAAAAGACTTGGAGGATATCATGAAGGCTACCTGAAAACTCTGGTTGAACAAAATTTATTTAAGTTTGAAGTGATGCGTGATGAGATAAAAGATCATAGAAAATGGGATTGCTGAATGTCTCAGAGAACTGGAACTGTTCTCATCCAAGCAAGAAAGGTACGAAGATGTGTTTCCGTTATCATTTATCCTGCATGGGAATCTGTGAAGTGTTGGTCCTGGGTGAGAAGGCAGAGAAGGCCCTGGAAGACGCTGTGAATTTAGGAATGAAGAGGTGGAGGGGCCAGGAGTCAGATGAACTGGCCTGTGTGCCCTGCTGGTCCTCAGGAGTGGATGCCGCCTGCCCAGAGTCACCTTCCAGTAACGACCCAGCTGACAGCACATTAGCTACTAGTTTTTAAAGCATTTTGTACAATGATTTTATACATGGAGGATACGATGTAGCAGTTTACAGATGACATAATAACTAATAATACATCTATAAAGTACCTCTGTAGTAAAATATGAAAAAGCTTCAGGTGCTCGGTCTTGTTTTTTACTGTCATTGGAGGCCACAGGTGTACTCATGGCAAGATCCATTATTTCAAACAGCTTAAAAGCAGAACAAATGAATTTAAACCTTCCCTCTCTCTCTCATCCTTCTGTTCCTCTCCCTGTTCGTCTGTACGACTTCCCACACCGCCAGCTCCAGGAGGTGCCTCTGCCTCTTGTTCCTGGGACATCTCCAGCTTCTTGTTCTCTTCAACCTCTGTGCCTCCTCCTTTTCCATGATCAACAGTGGGAGCAGCAGGGTGTCCTCGGGGGTGCAGCTGGTTGGGTGTGGGACGGGCGGGAGTGGGGCCAGCCCTTGAGGGGACCAGGGGTTGGGAAGCCTTTGATTTGGGAAGGTGGTGGGGCTGTGGCACTGACTTGGGCAGTGATAGTGGTTTGGGAGAGAAGCTACCAGTCCTTTGAAACTCTTGGGGAAGTGTAGAGCCGTGTCGGTGAGAATCAAAGGAAGGTCATTGGAGCCATTCTGTTACGGGGATGAAACAGCTCTACAGATGTCTGTTTGCTTGGGAGAATGAGTGGACACATCAGTAAGGTAGCAGTGGGTGCCCTGAAGCAAGTATTATAATGTACCTGTGTCCCAGGAGCCCTCAAGCCAGCATCGTCACGGGGCACCCTCACTGTCAGACCTTAATACGAATGGTGCCAGCCAACAGGTCGAACATTGTCTCCTCCCAAACAGAGAGGGAAGGGAGCGTTTAGAAGCACCCAAGAAAAACAGGTAAAAGCACTACCCAAGTGGAGAAGGAGAACTTGAAAGGATAATACATTTTATAGATAAGATGGGTTTACATTTCATTCAGTCCAGGGAGTAAAAATTTTTCTCTTTATTTAGCAAAACGGTACTAATTATTTTCATGTTTCTTGCCCAAACCTTTAAAGGAGTTTCATTCTTGTGAGATTTGTGAATGGGGCATAGTAAAGGAGCCTTCCTCTTGCCTTTCCTCTCTTTTCTGCAGAACTTTTCTCTAGTACTATTCTGCCCCACCCCCTTAGTTATCAGTGTTGATAGCTTGCAGCTCAGAGGCAGTGGGTTCTGCTCTGGCCGGGGAGAACAGTGGAATGGAATGATGTGTGCAGAGAACTTGAGGACTTATATTTGAGAACTCGGTTTCTCCCTCAATGGAAATAGAATATAGCTAGTTCCATGTGACAATTCCCTGATTTTGCTTTTTTGGTTATTAATAAGTTGTGCACTTTAAAGAAATGTTAGAAGCCAATGAACTATACCTTTTACTTCAGAAAAGTTTGGTTTCAACCAAGATAATGACTTGTGAAACTTCTTCAGATAGAAGATAGTTTTTTAAGATCTTTATGCTACCCTGTGCCGCTTGACTGGGGCAGGGGCTTCCGCTCAGTGGCTGGCTGGCCGGTGCATGTGGCGCCTGCTTACTAGTTGTGTCCACCCTCCTTGTTCTCACCTCACAGCTGGGCTGTGCAGTTTTGCTTCAGAGGAACTGAGCTGACCCTAGTTCCTACCTTTGGTGGTTTTTTCATAGTCAGTTGCACAAAACATTTTCCATATTGTGGAGAGACTTCGGTGGGCTATGATTATAGAGGATCACGTGGGTGCAGACAGTGTGGGCATCACAGCCCCGTATCACGAAGAATCAGCTACTTTAAAGTTTTTGTTGCTGTTTTCCTCACTTGGGCTAGCATTCATTTTTACGGTGTTTTATGGATTGTGATGTTCCTATACACACTTTGTGGACACTGCAGACTTTTGAGGTAAGAGGGGCAGAGGAGGAAGTGGAACTTCAGAACATGTGGGTCATTGCCAGAAATCCCACAGCTAGTAAATGAGGGTCCCGGCCAAACTCAGGTCTGTTGACTTCTAGCCCATTCTACCACGCTGTCTTCCTCTGAGCTGCTTCAGTGTTTGAGGTGGTTTTCTTGGGTTGATATCCCTGCCCCAGCTTCTACAGAGGTTTAGTGTCTTTAGGACCCTAAGAAGTACGTTCAGATCCTCATCTGGTCTCTTTCAGCTGGTTTCCAGACTCCCTGCTTAATCTCTCTGTGGCCCCTTTGCTTTCATGTAAGTCCCGGTTCAAATATTTTCTTGGGAGCCCCCAAATGCTCTGTGAATGGACTTTTGAGGGAAGTGAATGACTTTTTCCACCATACTTGAAGCTTTTCACTTCATCTAAGTCCCTGTCAAGAACTGTTAACATATCCTACATGGTGGAACATATTTAGGTCCATGTGTAAGTTGTTTTCCACTCAGATATTTTAAATTATTGCCACTTTGTGTGTGTGTGTGTGTGTGTGTATGTATGTGTAGCTATCTTTTACCCTCTGGGAGGGTGTGATAGGTGTCCAAAATATACACACGGGTGTGGCTCACAGCTCTACCCAGAGAGCACAGCTGTATATGTAAATGCTCCATTGTTCCACTGACGGTGGTTGAGAATTGAAATATCAACCCTTGAGTGTCCATATAGGAAAGGAAAACAGGGAGAGAGAATAGAATGTGTGTGCATGCATTGTGTGTGTGTGTGTGTGTGTGTGTGTGTTTGGGACTTGGGAGCTTGGTGATGGGTAGAGCATAATAATAATTGAATCCTTGCTCTGTATCATTTTTCCTGTCTTAAAATTTTCTAGTTTTAACTTTCTAATAGCTCTCTGTGTGTGTGTGTGTGTGTGTGTGTATGTGTGTGTGTATGTGTGTGTGTGTGTTGCAAAGAGAAAACAGATTCAAGTTAACTTCCCAAAGTTGGTAATAGGAGGAGGTGAGGTTTGAATCAGATCTCTCTTGACATGAATATTGTGCCACGTCCCTCATGTATCACAGTGTAAGGGAAATGGATTTCCCTGTGAAGGCTGCAAGCACAAAATCATATTTGATTCTTGGGATTTTAGAAACATTAGAGAGAACTTGAGATGTATTCATTGAAGTGCCTTATCTTGATAACTCTAGTACATTCTCCCACTATTGAATAGAAATTTTCCTGGAAAGTTATTACTCATAGCTATTGTTTGATGTCCAGTAAATCTGAACCCATATAGTTGGTCATTAAGGCTATTACATACACTGAAGCAAGGTAGCATTCGTTGGTGTGTTCCCATGCATTGGAGCCAATGGATCTATGGTGTATCTTCCAGTCAGGTATCTTGAAGACCGTTAGCCATTCTGACCTACATTTTACATGCCTTACTGAATCCTCCCAGTCCTGCGTGGTGTTAGATCCATTTTTTTCTGAAGCAGGCTCCCAGAAATTAAGCAGCTTTTCAAAGTTATGTCAAGGCAGGATCTAGGGAAAGAGGGTCTGCTCTGTATTAGATGCTGCAGAAAGCCAGGGCAAGTCTGTGATTGTGGATGTTACTAAGCTTGTGCCCATGTGGAGTGGAATTTGCACCTTCTGTGAAGGATGATCCTGAGGCTCCAGGTAGGAAGCTAACCGGAGAGGGGGCAAGGAGCAGAAGCCCTATCTGTAGGAAATTAGATGATTTGACTTGAGCAGCAGGTGGGCCGTCTTGCCTCACAATACCTCTTTCCAGCTACTATCAAGGAAAATCCAACAGAGATTGAGGGAGTAGGAGCTGGTCGTCACTTAGTATGAATTAGTTTTCAAAGGCTTTTCCTTGGCTTTATTGAGATCTAGTCATAGGGGAAGGAAGGGAATTTTGTAAGCAGAGAGAGTTTTGGTGCATGAAGCCCTGGGAGAGAAGGCGGCTGTGAGTTTCGGGCAGGAATTAGTGAAGAGCATGAGGGCACTGGGAAACCTAGTTAGTGTGGAGGCGAAAGGCACCAGATGTGCGTGGGAGTGTGACAGGCGTGAGCTCCTACCCTCTCCTGAAAGACCGCAGGAAAGAACCTTCTCAACCAAGTGCTGGGGCCCTTTACCCTGATAGGCCAGGGCGCCTTGATCCTGAGACGAGGTGAGGCTGGGGTGGAGAAAGCTGTTTGGCCACCTACCCTGGGGATCAGGGATCATGCTCCTGCCCCTCTTGGCCACCAGATGGCTCTGAGCAGTGTGTCCCCCACTCTTCCTTAGCCCTCTTCTGCCCAAGCTCAGCCTTATCTACAGAAGCTGGTGGGGCATGCTTGGGGGGTGCTGTCTGTGTCTCAACGAGTTGTTCCCAGGATCAAGCACATTTTTCTTCACTGGGCCACTGGTATCAGAGATGTTTGCACTGCCTCAGAGAGCAGGACGAAAAGGATTTTCTGGGGTAAGTGCAGCAGGACCAAAAGGTAAAATCAAGTAAGACTCCCCCCATTCTACTGGGCAGCGGGGTGAGCCGGAATCCTGCAGGAACCCACACCCAGTGTCTGCAGTTTCTATCTCCTTTACTTTCAACCCCACAAACTGGGCTCTCCTGTTGGAAAAGCCATGTCATTAGACTCCCGCAGGACCAGTTATGACACTGGTAAAAACAAGAGCGTGAACATATTTTAAAAACGCTCTTTATTTATAAGAGTAGGCAAGCAAATGTTGAGTTATAAGAACTTCCTTTGGGACCAAAAGTGGAAACATAGTCCAGAAGAGAAATATTGTGACAGCAAACCAAAATCTCCATAAATCACCCATTTTAATAGCTGGTGTACACCTTGGTTATTTGAAAGATGTTTCAAGTCAAGACAATTTGGGCAAAGACTGAATAAATATATAATAGGCTCCTTTTGTGTCCCCAAGTCCCCATACTTTTTTCTTTTCTTTTTTTGTGGTACTAGGGATTGAACCCAGGCCCTTTGCATAAAGCTGTATCCCCTGACCTTTTCACTTTTTATTTTGAGAAAGGGTCTTTTTAAATTGTAAATTGCAGAGGCTGGGCTTGTGATCTTTCTGCTTCAGCCTCCCAGAGTGGTGAGATTTCATGTGTGGGCCACCACGCCCAGCTCCATATACTTTTAATTAGTGGTGAATTGAGACTATTAAACACAAAGCAGTCTGCAAGGCCTGAGAGGAGAGCTGAACTATTGTTAATTAAACATCAGGGATTGCTCTGGAGAATAAAAGGGTCTGAAGGCAGCGTCAGGAGAATTGCAGGAGTCTCATCAGACAGAAGCCATGGAATAAAAGGCTAACGGTACATTTCTGCATTCTTTCTTCCCTTCCCTCATCTGGAAGATACCAAGATAACTGGAAGCCTTGAACGATTGTTTTTTTAGAAATCAATGAGAAATACGGGCAGATTTGCTCTTGTAATACAGTACAGACTGGGCTTGCTATGACAATACAGGTTCCTTTGAATGTCTTTATGCCCCAAATAAAAAATAAACAGTGATGAGAGTAGTCACTACTTTCCAGATTGTCTCCATCTTGTAGTCCAAAAAATGATACAGAATCTTACACTAGGATGAAAAATACCTGCCCTGAGAACGGTAAGAGCCAGGGAGCCTCAGCAGCTCCACGCGCTCTGCCTTGGTGATGTGAGAAAGGTGTGCACCTTACTGCGGGGCACGTGTGGGATATTAGGAGAGAGCAGGTTCCAGCACCGAATCCAGTCAGCAGAGGAAGGAGTGATGGCGGTTGCACTTCATGCTTAATATTCAATTCTGCTCCAGTAGAACATGGTACCCAGGAGAACCCAAAACTAGAAGAAAAGGGGAAAAACAAAAATAGATTTTAAAGGTTTTAAGAAACATCTTTTAATTTGAAAAAATGAGGTTAGTTTCATATTTTTTAAGAGTAGTCTTTTCCTAAGCAATGTCACATGGCCAGATGTGACGCTGAATCCCTCTGCTCCAAAGCATCACTTATAACCTGCCACTCACAGTCAGTTCCTCTGGTCCCCACTTTTCCACCCAATTTCCATTTCAGGTTCCCTGACTTCTGAGGTTGAGCTTCTCATTAGAAACTGTACCCTACTCCTACCCTGGAGAAGTTTTTTCCTCTTGCCCTCAGGTCTAACTAGCCTCTAGTACACTTCTGTTTCCAAGTAGGTACCATCAAGAGTTTTTGGCTTCTAGTACTGAACCTGTCCTTCCAGGGGACAGCTGGTCCGGAACAGCTGCCCCTGAAGGATGCCATGGAATTCAGCATGTCTGACTCAGGCAAGGAGTTGGGATATCTGAGCTCAGTTTCAGACCTGGCACATTCTTCCAGGGACTTACCTTTCCTGAGCCTCAGTTCCTGCATCTGTAAGATAAACAGAGCATCTTCTCTACCTCTACCTCAGACAGAGGAGTGAATGAGATAATGAAATAATAATGACACGACCTGCTATTTACTAGGGGACTTTGTGTACATCAGGCAGTGTTGCTTCTATAACCCTCTGAAGAACCCAAGGCATGGAGGGTCTTACCCAAAGTCACAGAGTAAACAGGTGCTGGGTTCCAACCCAGGGAGTCAGCCTTAGAATTTATTTCATTAGCCGCTACAGGAAAGCAGCAGGGAACTGGACATGCTAGCCCATCTTCTTAAATACCATTCCTTATAAGATGAGAGACTGGCAGCTACCTACAGAGCTACCTTTGGGGGATTTAATATACAAATAATTTGACATGCTATTTTGGCCATGGAGGAACTGCAGTACCTTTAGTTCCCTTTGCTTCCCTCTCTTGAATTTTAAGAGAGGCAATCTTATAATATCTAGAATTGACGGAAATATCAAGGGGTACCAGCGTTCTGGAGTACTGTACTAAGATAATCAAAAATCTTTAAATGTTTTCCTATAGTTTCTACTAATATGAATGATGACTTCACAGTTATAACCTTTCATTCATTCAACAAATTATTGAGCACCTAGTCAATATCAATGAATATAATCTTTTGGTCTTGCATAAATAAATCAATCAAAACTTGGAAGATCTGTATAGTGTAGTGGGTCAATATTTTCCTAAATAGCTGACTCATGATATTACAGAATTATGCATGGATAAAAGATTTATGCAAAGTTCAAAACAAACTAGTGTAATGTATTTTAATGCAGCAAAGTATGAAAAGTTCACTAGCATACTTTCAGATTCCATTTTACAGCTGATTTTAAGAAACTTGTGGAGTTTGGTGTAGTATCACAAGAATATGCATGATTATCTTTAGATAAGGTTATGGAAACAGTCCTGCTTTTTCACCAGTGCACCTTTGTGAAGGATATATTTTCTCCCAACTTGGTCACATATTACAACAGATTTAATGAAGGAGTCAGTGTGGAAATGCAGCTGCCTTTTACTAAGCCAGAATTTGATGAGATTTGAAACACTGCCAGTTCCCTCATTTTTTTGTTTTGACAAATAGTTCTTTTTTCCTACTAAAAATGTGTTGTTTATGTTAATTTGCATTAGAATTATTGTAATTTGTAAGAGAATTAATAAATATTTAATCTTTGGCTTTGTTAATTTCCAGTCAGGATCAATATCAATAGATATTGGTCACATAGACAAAAACTTTTTGCAATCCTTAATATATGTTGAGCATGCCAAGGGGTTCTGACATTAAGAGTTTGGGACTGCTAACCAAATGCACTAGTTTTTAGGCCTGACAGCAAACTAGAATAATCTGGGGAGGAAAAGGAAGCGTAGGGCCTGCCTCAGCTCAACTGATCAGAATCTCAGAGGTTGAGCTTTAGAAAAAGCTCCTCTGTGAGGTTTTAACGTGCAGCCAGGGCTGAGAAGCACAGCCCTGGTCTCTTGTTTTATGTGCATTAGCTAAAGGGGGCCGTTCGAGCAGGTGAAACTGGCAGAGGCTATTGTTTTGGAGGAGCAGGGTGAATTTGTGTTGGCCAGGAGCCATCGAGGGAGGTCTTTGAGATGTAGTGCCATGAATTGATGAGATCTGGAGATCTGGAGCATCAGGCTAGGATTCACTAAGAAGTTCAGGCAAGGGAAAGAGGCTGTCCAGCCCCCTAACGCTGAGCGTGCCCCAGGCAGCCTGAAGAAAGATCAGGTACTGAATATCTTTTTCCTGATAGGGAATTAACCTTCCCAGGCCTCAAGAAAACCCACTGTTGTTGTCAGGTCCCAGAAGCTTCCTGAGTAGCATTCAGCTGCAAGACTTTTGTGTCTAGATCTTCTAGTGTGATCGCGATGAGCATGGTAATCTTAGACTTCACCCCTTTCAGAAATAAAGTACGTTCAGGGAATACTCACAGTCCAGCAGAGAATGGCAAATCCAAACCAGGCAACACCCCAAGCGTGGCGGTTCATCGGTCCAGAGATCAGTTCATAGCAGCCCTGGGGGAGGGGATGATCCATGATGGTGGCAGAGGAACCAGAAAAAAAGATGTAAGAGATGGGTGGGAGAACAGATTCCTACTGCAGTCAGTAACCTCCAGGCTCCAGTTTCACAGCTAGTCTGTTTTCACATCCCCGTGAGGAGGCCGCTGCTAGGGCGACATAAATAATACTGCTGAATAATTATTCCATGTCCCATTTATCTTTGTACTTATCACTCAGGTTCACTGACAAAAGTGTTAATATTTTAGCATAACATTTTTCATATTAAACATGTGGACAATGGGATTTTTAAAAAAATCGAATTTTTTCCTTCCTAAAAGTTTTATTGGGGATTTGAGGGCAGAATTATATTTAAATTTTGTTTCAAGTAAAAATACTTCTAGTGCATGAATACCAGAGGTCTTCTGTTGCCATTTAAAGATAATTATTAACAGAAGCCCTGTGTCATGCTTCCTAAATTCTCATTTCACGTGATATTTCAACATACCCTCATTGGGTTCTCGTGAGAATTTGAAAAGCCATGGTGTGTGTGTGTATGCAAAAGAGTTATTAGATTTTATTTACTCATGCATGCATGCCATAACCCAGTAAGTATTTATAGGCAGCATACTCTGACTCAGTCACCATGCAGAGTCCTAGAGTGATGCATGTAAGGCTGGAGCTGCCATCCAGGTGATCTCCACTGGACCCCTGGAATCACAGGGAATATTTAGGGAATGCAATATCCAGACCTGATTCCATGAATCATGAGATACAGAGGCAAATGGTCTAGATTTGCTGGCAAATGCAAGCAAATGCCTGCAAACGTCCTGGGGTGACCATGAGGTTTAAGTTCTACCCAGTGGCCACTGGAGGTTCTCTCCTTTATGACTCTGCTGTTTTTGCTGTTCTTTGATCTGTCCCTCTTTTCCTTTTGCATTACATTTCCATTTGCCTAGATACCCAAATCTAACAACCTCAGAATCATCCTTACGCGTTTATCCCTCCTCCAGCATCCGACACTTAACCAAATCCTTTTGGTCTACTTTAAAAATACATCCCCAATCCAAACCCTTTTTGTCGTTCCCCAGTACCACCTTGGCCCACGAGGGCCTCCCTGCAGAATGACTGCAATGACCTCTGGGTCGCCCAGAAGCCTGACTCCGCTTTAGATCCACCCTTGTCTCCCGACCATACTTTGTCCGCTCTGGTCTCTCCAGACTGATCTCTTCTGATGCTCCTCCAAAGAGCCAAGAACGTGCCCTCTGCCCATGGCTGCTTCCTTTGTTTAGACCTGTGCCCCCTAACTCCTAGTGTCTCGTTTCCTTACTTAGTTCAGAACTTTGTAAATATCATCTCAGTGAAGCCTTTCCTGACAACTGCAGAGACAATATCCTTTCCTTATCCTAATCTGCATGTTTTACCCCGTTTTATTTCTACTCACGGCATCCACTGTTACCTGGAATTATCATGCAAATTTTGGTAACATGTTTATTACCTGTCTACCGTACTAGCAACTTCCACTAGGGCAGGGATTTCATCTTGTTCACTTTGAACCTACAGAACCTAGAGTAATATCCTGGCACAAGTAAATACCTAATAAACATTTACATAGAAAGTGGGATGTGATATTAGGTAATGATTAGAACAGAATTGTCTGTAACACAATTGATGGTTCACAAACCATTTCTATTGTCCTGAAAATCATGGGAAATGATCATTCCCTTAGTTATATATATATACCCACTTATGCCTGATGACAGGCATTGGGCTAGATGTTTGGCTCTGACAAGACAGAAATGGGTCTTGCCTTCATGGACGTCACGGACGAAAACCTGTTTTTCATCCCTTCTTATTAGTGAATTTTCATGAAGCTAATCATTTTAATAATGCTTTACTTCCTTAGGCCCATTATAATATTTTTGAGCTGTAGTGATCAGGCTATGCACACAGCATTTCTGAGGTAAATGAACCACGAGATAATATCTAATATCAGACATCTAATGTATAACATATAATATATAACTTATAGCACATATGATATATACATATAATACATTAACAGCTTGTATAATGTATAACATATATAATATAATATATATAATATATATATCAGGATATGTGTGTGTGTGTATATATATATATATATATATATCCTGCTAAGTAAAATTCTGGTTGATTTCTACCATTACCACACTTATGATGCCTTTACTGATTTTGTTAGTCTTCACGGCTATAGCAGCACATTTGTGATCTTGAAAAGCTGATCAATAGATGTGAAAAAGCCACTGGCTTCTTTACTCATCCACCCATCTAATATTTATTGAGTCTTTGCTTTGTGCTAGGCATTATGCTAAGTACTGAAGACATAGAATTGAGTAATACATGGTCCTCGAGGTGACTCAGAGAAAAATAAACTTGTGGACAGATACAGTTCAGAGTGATGAATACGGTAACAGGAGTAGCAGGAATTGTAGCGGCATATTTTACTTTGTGGAAAAGGATTGCCGGGCAGAATCAGCTGGACCTGTAAACCAGAGAACGGGGGAACTGGGTTAGGGAGAATGAGAAAGGATGGGAGACGAAGATGAGGATGAAGGAGGGGGAATGAGGATGCGGGGCGGAGGGATCGGGCACAGAGCGGGCATTCCGGAGCGCGCACGTCGGTGGAGGAGCAAGCTGAGTTACAGTGTCCTGGGAGCGGAGCTGGTAGGTGGAGCAGAGGGAGATGGGAAAGACAGAGGAGGCGAAGGCCAAAAGGGAAGGCATCAGGAGGCCCGCAAAGAGCGTGCAGAGCCCGTGACAGTGCGAGGAGCAAGAGGATTGGAATCTTTCCTTCAGATTTTTGCTCTTTGAACCGGAGAAAGTAGTTTTAGGTTTGTTCTCATAAGTAGAATGTTACGTGTGCTGGGAAAAATAGTGTTTTTGTGAAATAAACTGCCTGAAGGTGAGTGCCATTTTTGTCTCTTTCTTTTCTTTTCTTTTCTTTCTTTCTTTCTTTCTTTCTTTCTTTCTTTCTTTTTTTTTTTTTTTGAGACAGGGTCTTACTGTGTAGTGCAGACTGGCTTTGAACTCACTTATGTAGCCCGGGTTGGTCTCAAACTCACAGCGCTCCTCCTGCCTCAGCCTCCCAAGTGCTGGGATTACAGGTGTGTGCCACCACACCTGGCTTCTTTCTTTTTATATTAGTACGTGTTTATGGTATGTGATGTTTACACTCCTTGTGTGGAGTTGGTACATGTACCTAACACATTTTAATTCTCTTTTCCAGCCCTGTTGCCTCCCCTCCCACCTCACTTCATCTCTTGAGCTCCTTCCCATTTGAGAAAGCTCAAGCCCCCACCCCCTATTATTTTTTATTTTGTTCTTTATTTATATTTTGGGCTTCTCATATAAGACAAACCAAGCAGTATTTAAGCCTTTGCGTCTGATTCATTTCACTTAACATTATGACCTCAAGGTGCATCCATTTTCCTACAAATGACTCAAATTTAACCTTCTTTCTGGCAGAGTAGTACTCCATTGTGTGTACATACCACATTTTCTTTATTCATTCATCTCTTGATGGGCATGCAGGCTACCTGTTGTCTCTTTCAAAGTGGTGACATGGTTTGCACACAATTATAGTCCAGTAAGACTTGTTTGCACACCCCAGTTCTGATGTTGAAATATTGAGAGCACTGTATCAGTCACAGGAGCGATAGGTATAGTTCATACTGTGATTCTAAGCAACAAATTTATTTTTACAACAGTCTGAACATAACTGATGGAAACAATGTCAGCACAGCGTTGTGGAGCTAAATGAGAGTTGCTCTGAACGCTGGGCACCATCCTTGTATCACTCCATGTCTCTTTCTGGATTAATGTGTGAGTCCTGGTCCAGGACCCTGCCAGGCATAGCAAGGCCATCTGCAGTGCAGTGTCTTTCACTCCAAGCATGCAGTTTATGTCACTCGCTCCAATTAGTCAATTTGGTGGCATACAGTAGGGCCTCCTTAGAGGGGTCACTCCAGGCAGGACTTGCTAGCACAGTGTGCAGTGTCAGCAGAGGGTGATGGCAGTGTGGTGAGCTCTCAGTGGGGACTTTGGGGACTCTTACTGCGTCTTTATTAGCTTGGAGTCTGCTTTGGAGCCAGACTGCTTGGGTTTAAGTCCTGACTACAATTTACCAGTTATGCATCCTTGGACAAGGTATCGACCACCATCTCCTCTCTTGGTTCCTCGTCTGTAAAATAGGAATCGTACAGGCTCCAACTTTTGAGAATGAAAGGCGTTAGTATGTATATGGCCTTTGGAACAGTGTCTGGCGTTTGGTAAGAACTTAATAAATATTTCAGGATTATTGTCACATTGTATTCATCAGCCTGGAAACACTTGTTCAAAATCCACCTGTATGTAAAACGTCTTTTTAAAGTTGTTTGTTCATTTACTCATTTACTTGTTCATGTCATGTTTTTTTTTGTCCTTTCTTTTAAAGAATAATTTTATTTTATTTATTTTTTAGTTTCTTTTGTATTAGTGTGTGTTTGTGACATATAATAATTACACACATGTTGGGAAACTGGTACATGTATGCACTGCATTTTAATTAGTTTTACTTCCTCTTCCCCTCCCTGTCCTCTGTCTCTCCTCATTCCCAGATTCCAATGGACATTGCGCACTTTACAAACCATCTTTGACCCACAGCACACCAACCTCATATTTTATTAAGACTCTTTTATACTCTTAATAAGATAACGAATGTTGGTGTACAATTACTACCTTTACCCTCAGCAATTGCCCTTTCTTTGGAACTGGCAAATCACTCTTTTTTATACCATATCTCCCAATTTACAGTTTGCAAAGATAAAGCTAATATTTATTTAATGTAAATATGCTTTGGAGTGTCAATTCTAGGCATTATACTAAGTGTTTTAATTTACACAGAGTTGTACTTTGCTATATTATGTTCTGTTGTTTTATTAAAATGGAAATTTACCCATATCAGCTATAGGTTAGCATTCACAATTTACTAACAGGGAAGAAAAGAATTAATACAAGATTTAGGAAAAAAGATGCAGAACTCCTTCCTGAAAGATTATTACTTACAGTTGACTGTTATTTTCCTCATAAAGTGTAGAAGAACCCTCTAGCAGGTCTTGGGAGTGGAGAGAACTCACCTGATTGTGGTAATAACCAGGCACTCCTAGCTTGCAAGCCTCCAGGTTTAGTGGTTCTTTAAGGTTGTTCATAACACAGCACTGCCGAGGCCAGGGATAGTCCGCATCATTATTCTCAGTCCGGAAGGCAGACGTGTATTTCTGCCAGTCTGACGGACCATTTACACCACAGCAATTGTCCTGTCAGTGGATGAGAGATACAAAATTCTCTTTCATGGTCCTTTCCAAAGCCATTGTTGTAACAACTCAGATTTTATAAAGAAAAGATATTCAGAGTGTACCAAATCTGTTGTTTAAAAAATCCCCCAAACTAGAGCTGGAGATATTAATAACTTATATTTTAAAGTTTGTAAAATATTTTTAATTTATTGCTTTATTAGCCATTAATGAATTCTGTAGCTTTTGACATGTTACTTAAATTAACTAAGCCTCATTTTCCTTAACTGTAAAGTGGGAAATAGTTCCCACTTCACAGGGTTTTTGTGAAGATTGAGTGAAATAATATACTTAATGTATTGGGTCCTATACTAGTCAGCTTTCCCATCCCTGGAACAAAATACTTGACACTAGCAATTTAAAAGAGGAGAGGTTATTTTGACTCTTGGTTTTCAGAGGGTGCAGTCCATGGGTGGTTGGCTCCAAGGCAAAAGGGTGTGGCACCCCATAATGGCCAGGAAGCAGAGAGAGGAGGAAGGGGGTGGATGGAATAAGAATACCTCCTTCTGGGTTTTGCCATAGTGACCTACTACACCCAGCACTGTAAGGGACAATGACTCTTAGCATATCATTTTAAGATAGAATAATTCTAGTCTTAATGCAAGCCTCAAAATGTGTCTTGAGAAACATCCTGGAGGGGTTGTAGAGAGTTAACTTTGCAGTCCTGCCTCAGCTCTGGAATGCTTCTCCAAAGACAAAGACCACCAGGACCCAGATAACCACCTATGACCCTGCCTGAGTTGTTTCATACCTTCCCTGGCCCTAGATAAACATTGTAACCATAAAGGAAATGCATGGTTATCTAAAGGGGGACATATAGAACAGAGTACAGAAAGTATATATCGTTGTGGTTGGTCTCATGACCGAAGCCTGACCCGGTTACATGGCACAAGGAAAACAACATGGGGCCAGGGCTACAACATTCCTTTCTGTTACCATGGAAACCAAAAATGTATATAACCTGGGAACAAAGACAGGTCCACGCCCACTTTCCTGACTTGCAAGTCGGGATGAGAGGTGACCAGTCTAAATTAAAACTTTGTCTGTTCTCTTTTTTCTCTTGCGGAATACAGCCCGAATTTTTGCCGTAACAGCACATTCAGGTATGGAGTCACCCATGGATTAATAAGGGGAGCACCCTTGTGATCCAACTGTCTTGCAAAAGCATCTGAACACATCTCTGAACACATAAGACTTTGGGGGGCTATTTAAGATCTAAACTATAACAGGTACAATGCCTGGTTCATAGTAAGCCCTTAATAGATGTTAGTTATTATTAGTACTAACTTTCATTTGCAGTACTGAGGATTGAGCCCACCCTTTTTTATTTTGCTAAATCACTAAGTTACCCAGGCTAGGCTCAAACTTGCAAGCTGTCTGCATCAGCCTCTTATAGTGCTGGGATTACAAGCTTGCCTTGCCATGCCCAGTTTAGTACTAATGTCTTGATAAAATAATATGAGAGGTTTACTTATTGTAATATTACATATGAGCAAATTTCAAAGCAGAACATTAAACATTTTAGTGGTGACAAACTTATGAGTATTTCTTGTTTTACTTTTCTGTGTTTTAAACATTTTTCTAGAGTAATAGTGTGTTGTTTTTATACTGTAAGAAAACAAACTGTAAGAATGTAAAAAACATGATGGCACTTAGTTGTGCCTCTACATGGAAAAGGAAAATCAGCTGTCACATAACCAAGATCCTTACACTCTAGGTAGAATGGAAGATAGAAGATACAACAATTCATTCTTCTTGCAAATTCTGCTCAAGTGTTTCAAGGGAGAAAGTTAAAACTACGGGGATTTCTCAACTTTTAGAAAAAAAAAAAATGTATCCAAGCAAATTTAATGATAAAAAAAATCTTTAAACGATGCCCACTTTTGCCATTGGATAGTAGAAAATGTCTAACCAAGAAAATAAATCTTCTCTTCTCCTTCTCCTTTTTCCTCTCTGTCTGTCTGTCTGTCTGTCTCTCATGAACCCCGGGCCTCAGCTATGCCAAGCAAATATTTTTCCATTGAGGTATATCACCAACCCTCATTCTAGATTTTGACTGGTGCCCTCTGGGAGAAAATGCTTATGTTTGAGCCAGGCTTATTTCAAAGTAGTATTTAAATTGGTTCAGAAAACAGTAAAAGGTCCAGAATTGAGCAACCCAACATTCAGAGTTTGGAAAAGGGTATAAAGCCCAGCAAAGGAAGAAGGGGTGGATGGTGTGACAGTGCTAGTTGGATATCAAATAAGATAAGGACAGAAACTTGGCTATTGTGCTTGGCAGGGTGAGGTAATGTGCTAAGGATCGTTTTAGTAGAGTGCTGGGATAAGAAGCGAATTGCAGTTGGATGGAAGCAGATGAATGGTATGAACATCAAAATAGCAAGTGTAGATGTCTCTTTTGAGATTTTCCATGAAATAGAATAGTAGAACAGAATAGTGGGTAAGTGCTGGGAAGAGGTTTTTTTTTGTCTTTTTGAGACATGGTCTTGCTATGCAGTTCAGGCTGGTCTTGAGCTCACTATGTAGCCCAGGCTGGCCTTGAACTCATGGCGATCCTCCTGCCTCAGCCTCCAGACTGCTGGGATTACAGGTATGTGCCACCACACCCAGCAGAAAGAGTTTTTTGAAAAGGTGTGGGATTTAAACTGTTGTTGCTTGCTGATGTGAGGGAGGAAAGAGTGAGGTAGATCAGAGTAGGCAGGCTTGTTGGAGCAAAGGAGTTAGAGGATACAGAGTAGAAGCCACGGATTTGTAAAAAGGACAGTATATTTGTCATAACAAGAGAGAAGGCAAAGTACAAGGGTGTAGATAAATCTAGATGGGCAGATTTAGTAGTAGAGAGATTAGAAAGTTCTTGTCTGATTACCACTACTTTCTCAGTATATATGAGTTGAAATCATTATCTGAGACAGAGAGAGGAAGGATTTTGAAGATGTGAGAGAGGGGAAGATATATGAAATAGAGGCACGTGAATTTTCTGGAAATATGTCCTAGGAGATATAGAGTGCTCATTTAAAATGTATGGTTATACATTTAGATTTTTTTTTTTTGGTTTTTCTCCGGTACCAGGAACTGAACTCATGATGTTGCACTTGCCAGGCAGGCGCTTTGCCGCTGAGCTAAATCCCCAGCCCCTACATTTAGAGTTAAATTAGCACGGCTGTATGACTTTGCCCAGCAGTGGTTAGCTCTTAGGTTGCATGCTTGTGAAGAGTGGGTCAAAAGTTGTTAGTGAAGACTGATGAACAGAGACAGATGGTGGAGTAAAGGAAGTCAGTAAAGAAATGATGATGAGAAAGAAAGGAAATGAATAGAGTGATAGAAAGTGAAAAAGTGGAGGTTCTAATGGTGTGACGTTAGATTTGTTAACTTCTTTGGGTTAAGAAGTGCCTAGTAGATTAGTAAAGTATACTGGTTGTGCTGGGTGAATTTTGGAGGTGTGGCCTTGGGTATTATATCTGGTCCCTCACTCCTCCCTCTCTGGCACTGGTCTCTTGCTCTGTCCTGCCTGCTATGAACTAAGTATCTTTGCTTCATCACATCCTTCTACTATGGTATTTCTGCTGCGAGGCCTCCTGAACATATACCAAATCTCCTGAAACCATGAATTAAATTATTTGCAGTTTTTTTTCTGGTACCAGGAATCAAACTCATGACCTCACGCTTGCCAGGCAGGTGCTGTGCCACTGAGCTAAATCCCCAGTCCACCATGAATTAAATTAAACCTCTTCTCCTATGAGTTTTGGGTGTTAGGTATTGTGTTTCATTGATGGAAAAGCAAGCCAATACAGAAAATTGACACTCAGATTAAAGTCAGTGTTGTGATTGTACATGGCTCTGTGGTTTAGAAACTTTCAAAATTGGTTTGTGGGAGGAATTTGGAAAGGTTTTTAGTTGTGGGCAAAAGAAGCCCTAGAATGTTATAAAAAGAACCTAATAAATAATTCTAGTTGTAGCTCAGAAGACCAAAATAGGAGTGTGGACAGTAAAAGCCAGGCTCAGGAGATTTCAGTTGGGAAAAATCACTCTATTAGCATTTGGACCAGAGGCCATGCATGTTACAGTCTGGCAGAAAATTTGCCTGTTTTGCCCATGTCTTGAGACACTGTAGGAGTCTGAGATTAAGGGCAGTGAATTAATTAATCTTGTAGAGGAAATTTCAAGACAGCCCAATATTTGTGGAGTGGTGTGGTACTCCTGGCTGCTATTAGCCTGATTTATAGTGAGAATTTGAGACCAAAAGTAGAGCATAACATTTTTAAAAACTTAATTTTTAGCCCAGAAAGAATCATGTGTAAAGTTGGGGCCAAAGAAGGTGTACCTGCTAAAGAGATTAGCATCATTAAAAAGAAACCAAGTACTTTGTACAGGGACAAGAGGAAAGATGCCTTGAAGGCATCTCTGGATTCAGCAAAGGACTCACCATTTCAGACTCAAAGGTGCAAAAGTATTAACATTTCATTTGAGAAGAGAATCCATGGAACCACTGCTAGAGGAGAATCTCTTAGGGAATTGGTACCCTGGAATTCATTTCATTGTGTTCAACCATCTAGGTACTCAGAGGCCACTGTAGCTGTGATCTACAGGGGCCGAGTTACTACTTCTGCTGACAATAGATGCTAGCATTATCACTGTGATGATGGGCTGGCATGAAAATGCAAAAGTTTTGGGGTCAGAAAGTCTCCATTCAGATTTTAGGAGCCCCTGAGAGAGGAGTGTGTGAAACTATAGAAATGAAGCCAAAGGTGAAGTGCAGACCCCAGGAAACTGGAGATGCCAGGAACATGAACCACCTACCAAGGAAAGCTTCAGTCTGATAGCAGAACTAGTCTTACAGAGAATCTATATGGAATGCAACCAGCAAGGCCATCAGAAATTACATCTCACCCTTCTGTCTCCTAGATGTTGGACATTTGGAGCTATAGGAGTTAATGTCTTCCCTGTGATGATGAGCTGGCATGCAAAATGCAAGAGTTTTGGGGTCAGAAAGTCTCCATTAATATTTTAAAGGAAAGGCTTGGGAGGCCCAAAAGGAGCCCCTGAGAGGGAGCTTAGGTCTGAGCTTAGGTCTTGTTTCAGACTAATTTCTTTCTGTCTCCCATTCCTCCCTTTTAGAATGGTAATGTTTACCCTAAGCCATTATACCTTGGGATTATGTAACCTGACTTTGATTTTCATATTGGTTCATAGCTAAGAGTTTGCTTGGAGTCTCAGAAGAGACTTGGACTGGGACTTTTAAAAAATGCTGGAACTGTTGACTTTTTTTTTTTTATTTTAAGAAATAAAAGAAGGAAAATTTATTAACAAACAGACATACATTTACAAAATAGCATAAGAACAATACAAACAAAACAGAGTTACAGACAAAGTTGTAGGAAATTAACAATTGTTGTTGTATTACTTATTGATATCTTCAAAGTGGTTTCTCAAGAAAACAGATTGGAACTGTTGACTTTGAGGAAGGGATTGTTGCATTTCCAGTTGTATGTAGGATGTTGTGATAGGTGGAATTATGAACTTGCTGTTATCTTTATTTGGTGAGTAAGCTTGGTTAAAGGTGATGCATTTGGGTGTGAAGTTGACAAGGGCTTTACTGTGACCTTTAATCTTGGCTTATCAACTTCATTAGATTATGAAATGCCTAATAGATAAAGAAAGCATGTTTCTGGGTATCCTTGGGTAGTTCATCAGGCATGAACTTTAGTGCCTCATCTGTTCCTCTGTTCTCTGTTTTATGTTGGCTGCCATGAACTCAGCATTGCCACATTTTTAAGCTATGGTGCTTCTGCTTCGGAGGCAGCTGACCGTGTACTGAAACTCCTCAAACTGTGAGCTAAATTAAAACTTTCTTCCTTTCAGTTTTGGGTGTCAGATAATTTGTCCCAGCATTGGGAAAGCTAATACCAAGTAAAAAACATTGGAGTGGTGATATAAGAGGATATGAAAGACATTACAGAAGGTAGTGGTCAGAGAGTGGGGTTTTCTTAGGTGGTACAGTTGGTGGGGACTTAGCATGTATGGCTGTGGAAGACAGTGGCTGAGATGAGGCAGAGACTATATTTGGAAAGGAGTATGACAAGGAACTGAGAGACTAGATGTTGTCTAAGTCATCTCTGTGGATGCTGAAGCCTCATCCTAGGTGGAATGATGGGCATGTCAGAGTGGACAGTCAGTGTCACTAAGAGATAGCCAACATTCTAGCAAAGCCGAAGGTAGAGTCCAGGCTATAAGAGGGGTTTGCTAATGACAGACTGAGAAATTGGTGTGGAGTCAGAGAAAGGGAGTAGGGTCCAGTGAGGAGTTGGGTTGTATCAGGGATTACTAGAGGATACCAATTTATACATACAGGGACACATGCGGGTAAAGTTCAGGAAGACTTAGATGTCTGGTGGCATTTGAGGTAAACTTGGATATATGGCATGATTGCCAGTTAGAAAAAGTTGGGTGATTAAATCAAGTCATATCCCCTGGGCCTTAGTGGAACCAGCTCACAAGAGATGTGAAAAGTTCCAAAAAAGGTACGATAGGCAGTGATTGCTATTTGAGTTCACTGTGGGGGCAGAGAAACCCTTTTCATTTAATATGAATATGACTTGAGTTCTAAGAGGCTGAATGCATGATTGATCTCAATTTCTTGACAATGCCAGTATTGCTATAAAGGTAAGCCAACTGACATCATCGTTTGAAATAAAGATTGAAGAGTCTCACTGAATCATGCCTTTAATATCCCCCCAGTATCCCTCAGTAAATAACAGGCACATATGACCTTGCCTGTAATGAGTCTCTGAAGGAAATCCCCTTGGAGGCGTTGATTTTGCTCCCAGCCACACCCCCTGGTTGCCCATTTCCATGTGACCTGGCCTCTCCCTAGGACCCAAAGCCTTACCTGTAGCATAAGCCTATTCCAGGTTTTGGTGACGCCATTGTTTTTCCATTGGTCATCATTGGTTGGAGGGCTGTTGTTCTGGTACCTCACCAGCATCTGCTTCAGGAAGAGGTTGGGTGTGAACTACATGGGGGACAGGTGACACAGGAGGGAGAGTTAGCGGGTTAACACCCCAGAAAGAGAAAATATTTTTTCTCACTGTATTGCTGAGGACACCGAACACGCTCTCAGAACAAAACGATACTCAGAGGCACCAAGTATTGTACAGCTGGTTGAGGCTGCTTTTTGGGTTGGCTGAAAATCCGCATGTTGGGAAGTGACCCCAGCCTTCAGAGAAATCACTTCAAGGTAAAGATATTCTGGGGTGGCCTAGGCTGGGGCAGTGACAGCGAACCTTTTAGAGCTTTCAGTGATACAAACAGCCTGCTGTGGCACGCGTTGCATAGGTTTGCCACCACTGGGCGAGGGCAATAGCAAAAAGAAGAAAAAAAGATACCCAGCTGACAGTGAATCCTAGATGAGGACAAATGTGGACCATCCCACTGGAGGGCCAAGTGGCCACGCAGAGCGGTGATGGGAGGACGGGTCACCAGCGTAGCCTTGGAAATTAGGCTGCCGGCCTGCAGAGTTCTCGCTCTTTGAGTTGCCAGCTGTGTATCTTTGGGCAGGTTATTTCAAATTTCCACATCTCATTTTTCTCATTTGTAAAATGACAAGTGATAGGAGTATGAACTAGAATTATATATGTATTATTAATGTGCACATTAGCATGCATGGCACACAGTATGGGATTAATACACATCAACTCTGACCTTCTTAGGAGAATGGCGAGGCCTGTTATTTTTGCTTTGTGCGTTTTGAGAGCATACTCACAAAGTCTCGTTGTGTTGCTGCTGTGATACAAGATGCCACTTCAAAGCCGTACACTATAAACATCAGGATGAAATACTGGGGAAGAAACAAATGAGAAAAGAGCCTTACACTTACCCCCAGAGGAAGATTTCCCCACATAACTGCTATAATTTTTCAGCACATTTATCTAAATACAACCTCCCAGCCATTTGTGTAATTACTCCGCACACGACCTTTGATCAGCTGCTTGGAATGAAGCTCAGTGCTAGGAGCTGGGAATAAGGATTGGTGTAGTTAACTTAGTTCTCCGCCTTTCTTCAGAGAACGAATGGCCAGTAGGCTCTTTCATGTGGTATCCTGAATTTCTACTTTAGTTATGGAAACTGTTAAAATTCTAACTGGAAACGAGAATGAACGTGTGTGTGTGTATGTGTGTGTGCGTGCCGTGTACCTGTGTGTATACACATGTGTGCATGTGCTGGGGCATGCCAGAGCGTCTTAGAATACCACCCAAATGCAGAGTCTTATAAATCCCCTCTAACTGGGAGATATTTTTGTTACCATTTGCTGAATATTTAGAATCACAGAAGAGCCTGTTTGACACCCAGTGTCCTGCGCCGAGCCAAGTCACATCTGAGCCGAGCCTGCAGCCTCCAGCCTGAAGTGACCCATGGCCTCCTCCTCTCACACACCCGCTCCAGTGACAGGGTGCAGGAGGGCGAGACAGAGTTCACGGTGTGCAGGGGTGGTGGAGACATCATGCGCGCGCGCGCGCGCGCGCGCGTGTGTGTGTGTGTGTGTGTGTGTGTGTGTGTGTGTGCAGCGCCTCCACACCACACTTGCCCGTTTCTAGCTGGAAAAAATCTGAGCAGCAAGTGGCCTCCCATTCTGGGTGGTGACTGCTGGCAAGAGCTCTGTCTGCCTTCCTCAGCTTCGCACATGTGCTTCTTGTCCTCGTGTCCTTCTTGGGAAGGGGCCCTGTGGTCAGAATCACTGAGGGAGAACAGGAAATGCTGTCTTCCCTCTTTAGCCATGTGAAGCTCTCCGAGCAGGACCCTCTCTTCTGCCTTCACTACCTGGCCGGAACAAGCTCTGGCTGTACGCTCAGGAGACCTTCAGAGACCCCATAACAGTTTTTCCTACACTGGCTGCTTTCTTGCTCGTCAAGAATTTTGATGGCTACGCTTACAGAGCCTCAGAATTCTTAGTGGTGCGCCCGAAGCCAGCGAGGCACAGGGTGCAGATGTTTTTCCTTCAGCTGCCAGGAGAGGGCGTTGATACCTCCACTCCCGCAGCTCAATTCTCTGGGCTGTGTCAGGCCCACACACGGCTGGCCGAAGGCAATGCTGGGATGCAGAAAAGGCTATCTGTAAGGACGTCTGCCTCTCACCTCCCTGTTTCACTGCACGCCTTCCCCGCCCTCCAAAAGTGGGTACATTTGCCCTAGAACTAATACATAAGCAAACAGACAATGCAAATGTTCTGCATTTCCGGGTTCAAAGACAATGGTTAGATCAAAGGAAAAGTAAACCCACAAGCCCTTTAAATTACGGGACTTATTCTGTAACAGAGGTTCTCAGGCCCTACAGCATTTGGGTAGGAGAGTTATTTCAGGGGTAGAGAGGAGTGTGTGTGTGTGTGTGTGTATGTGTGTGTGTGTGTATGTGGCCCATTGCAATGTGAGAAATACTGCCCTGGGGATTGGGGCAAGAAGTAGACAGCTAGACCCAATGTAAAGGTTTCTCAGCACGTTGGCTGCACATTTGCTTCCATGTGCGTAAGCAGGGCCTCATATGGCCTTCTGTGGTGTGGGACCAGAGTTAGAGCCCCACAGGCAGGCAGGGTGTGAAGGGAAGGCACACTCACAGGGGTGCCTATCTAGTTCCCTGGGGTTCCGGTAAAGCAGAGTAAATGACATGTGGGAAGTGCAGGCCACTGTAAAAAACCCGTCAGCCTCAAGCTCAAACATCTTCCAAAGGGCTCAGGCTTTCTTTGAAAAGTCCATGCCTACTTTGTATTTTATATCCTAATACAGCAATGCCTGGTTAATATTAAAATGATACTTTTCTATTTTTGAGACAGGGTCTTACTATGTATTCCTGGCCGGCCTTGAGCTCACTATGTAGCCCAGGGTGGTTTTGAATTCATGGACATCCTCCTCCTGCTTCAGCCTCCAGAGTGCTAGGATTACAGTTGTGCACCCTATGCCTACATAAATCAATACCTTAAAGTACTTATTAGTGAGGAAAAAAAGTCCAGGAAATAAGTTCTCCCTATGTCTTTTCTTTGGCCTGTGTAATGTCAGCTGGAGGAGCACAGATCTGGAAAATTTTCAACAAAGTCATCTCTGGGTGTCTCCCCTTTGGTTTCACCATGAGAAAATCTTCTGGACTTGCAATCGTGGAGGACGTCCCTGCCCCCATGTGACAATCAATCTTACCGTAGGGAGGTTTCTTCCTTCCTTCTCCTGCATCTGGATCTTTCTGCTCGCATCTGCCTCCCCAGAAGCTAAAGCACTGTGCTCGGTGAGGAAGAAGCAACATACCGAAACTGGCTCAGGGAAGAAGCAGCCACAGAGAATTCTAAAGCCTTACCGCTAGGAGAAGTTTCCGGCTGGACTTCAAGATCCCCACAATGGCTAGGACAGACAGGCAGAAGAGGCAGATGCCCACAAACATGCCGATCCAGGCAGCCCCATAGATGTCATCATTGTTGGTGGCTTCAAGCAGGGGATAGAGACTGTGTTGGTCGGACACAAAGAAGATGCACTCCGCGGTCAGGGCGATGCCACACATCTGGAAGCAAGTCAAGAAGAGGCAGTGTCAGGCTGGTGGCCAGGAGCACAGCACTGGGAGAGGAGGCCGTGATGGGTGGGTGAGAGAGATGGTCTCTCTCCCCAGCACAGGCTTCTTGAAACTGACAAGCTCCTCATTCCCAGGAAATCAGGCAGTTATTTTCATCCTGTAACCTTCTACATTCCTTCTTCTTTGGAGGCTTTCTACATGTCTCTCTGTCTTGCTGCTTGGGGAAAGATCTAGGCAAGTTTAGACCATCCATAAATTTTGAGGAGCATGCACTACTCAGATGGTGGCTTGTTGCATGAGGTTCTCTCCCCCTCTCAATCCTACTTCTACTTTCTTGTCACCCCATTCCTGGATTCTAATATTTGAGGTGGCTCTGGCCATAGTTATTAGTGAGAGCTGGAAGCTTGGGGTAATGATCTCCCCAGTGTCCATGAATGAAATGGCCCTGAAGGGTGAGGACTTATCCAAAGCCACAAAGAGAGTCAGGCAGATCTGGGGCAAAGGCCGGCTCTCTTCATTCTCAAATAAGTGCTTTCTCTCCGCCCTCGTGCCCATTACAGCTTGGCCTCTGAGCCACTCTCACCCTGGGTCTGTGAGAACAAGAAGATGCAGACATCTGCCCCATCGACCTGAATAACAGAGTCTTCAAATCAAACCAAGGTAAATCAGAAGAAGCACTAAAATGTGTGTGTGTGTGTGTGTGTGTGTGTGTGTGTGTGCAGGAGCATGTGCGTGTATGTACCAGCCATGTGTGAATACAGACCACCGTGGACACAATTCCTTTTAGGTGTTTATGTTTTAAAGTTGGGAGGGAAATTTCTAATATTTTCAACTATGGTCTTCTGAAATATTACACAGTTCTATATGATTATTGATATAGTTAACTCATAGCGAGCATCCTTACTACCACATCTCTTAAAGTGAAGAAAACACAGGGAACTAGAAGCTGTATCGTGCTTGCCTTATAACTCTCATTTTTAATTAATCCCAAATCATGCTAAGAAGAAGAGTGAAATTTTCTGAAAAATTCTTATTACTTACACCAACAATCATATGTCCAAAAATCAGCAGGCCTTGGAAGCAGCGAACAGTGGAATCGTCTTTGGCCATCTTCAGGATTCCCCACTAGGTGAAGATGCAGTTAAGGAGATTACACTTTAATAGGAAAAATACTGCTATAATTGCCCTAATATGACTAAACCATGTCACTGTATATTACCTTTTTGTGTCCCAAAGCATCCAAATCAAGGTCGTATAATCTTTTAGTAATGAAGGAAATTTGACTACTGGGCTCAGGAATCACAGTAGCTTTATGAAGAAGAAAAAGAAAAAAAAAAAGCCTTCCAGAGTGCTCAGCACCTTTCGAGAGTCTTTAAGGCATGGTGCATACAGGATGCTTACATCTAAGATGAGAACTGAGGTGCTACAAGGTCAACAAGGACATAAAGAAAAGCGCTGAGACGCCAATGGCTACATGCGGCTGATGGTCACAAAATCCCTGGATATAGACCTTGTCCAGAGCAAACTAGCTTAAGCTTATAGAGTTAGTGGTTGCCAACCCTGGCCACAGAGAGAACAAATAAATACATTTTCTCTGTTCAGAAGACTCTGTCTTACAAAGATCAGAAACACCAGGCCTTTCTTTCCTCACTGCTCCGGGGTCTTGCTTCCTCGGCCCGCTGACACCACACCAATATGTGCACCTTTCCCCAAGCCCAGTGTTGCAGCTGTACTCTTCCAGGAAACCTGTTTCAGTGTCTCCTAAACCTGGAGCTCTCCCTCCTGCTCCGGGGGCCAGAATTCTTGACAGTAAAAGATGCTACATGGAGTCAATGGCAAGGTCAGCATTTCATCGCTGCTTCTTGGCTACTTGTGGTTGAGACTAGGTTGATTTGTGGTGAATCTGCCAAAGAGCCACAGACGTCAACAGGGAGCCAGATGTCAGCTTCCTGAAGCTCTGGTTTGCGTAGTCTTCCTGCAGTGTGGTCTAGGGGCTGGGGTCTAATGTGGAGCATTCCGGAAGCGGCATGAGAATGCCGGTGCTCAAGTCCTCGTCTTGCCCTGTCTTTACCGTGTTTCTCTGGGGTGGCTGTGGGCATGAGGAGTTATGCTGCTATAAGCACGCTTCATTTATAGGAAAATGGATGCACTGACACCATAATGTTAAGTGAAATAAATCAAACACACAAGAAAGAATACAATCAAACCCATATCACATAATTTCTCTTACATGAGAAGCCCAAAGCATATAAAAGAGTGAAATAAAGGGTGGATATAGAAATCAGGGAGAATATATGTTTTGCAAATAGGAAAGAGATCTGCGGATGAGGGGGAGAGGGTAGGGAAAACGGAAGTAAAAAGTGTTAAGATGTGTTATGCTGTACAGGTACCAACTCCCCATGATGAATGACTGACTATGTACTGCAAGCATTTACTAATGAAAAACTTCATTTTGAAACATGAAGAGTCTACTTCCTCGTTTATAAAGTGGGTAGAATGCAACCTGCCGGATGGGATTGTTGTGATCACCAAACGAGATACAGAATGCAGAAGTGGTTGGCAAACATTAAGATTGTGTACCAACGTGAAGAGTTACTAATACTAACCAAGAGGTGTTTAGGAAGGGCAGGGTATTGGGTTAAGGTTCTGCTTCATGCACCAGAAACCCTTGAGGCACAGGACAGAGGTTCTCATGGTGATTGATCTCACGACCAAGTTGTTCCTCCTGTCTACTTCCTGTCTGTCCCCTGCCCTGGGACTGCTCTGCCACAGGGGCCTGCAGGCCTTGCCTAGAGTGACCCATTTGTAGTCAGGGTTATGCAATCCTCCTCCCTTCCTATTTTCCGTAGTTGAATGAATGGGGAAAATTTTTTCTCTGGGAAAAGAGAAAGTGCTTCCCAGTTGTGCTGAGGTGTGGCCAGAGACAGGTACCAAGCTGCACGTCCCTGTGGGAGGGCCCTCTGCAGCATTCTGATCCGCATTCTTGAGCAGCTAGCTCCTGCCTTGGGACTCATCTCTCTGGCTTTGGTCTCCGCTGCAGACTTTGAGGAGATACAGAGATGACAACTGAGGTTTTCTTGTGTGCTGGGCTTGTTTCTTCTGACACAGAAATGACTCAGAGAGAACTCTATTCTGTTCTTCTTTTGCACTGTTTTTTCTTGGTATCAACCTATGAAGGCCTTGTATTTTGCTGTGAGAGGCTCTAAAACAGACAGCACTGGAAACCTATTATATTTGTTTTTCTAGGTCCAAAGTGGCACAGTGCCTGACGTATAGTAAGCCCTCGTTATTTTGCTAAGTAAAGTAAATAAATAAATGTTTATTTGAATGGATGAATAAATGACTAAATGAGTCATCCACTTAAAGTAGTGTTTTGCCTAGAGCCTATGGTAGGACAGGTCACAGAGTACAGTAAAAGAGAGAGAACATGGGCTTGGGACAGACCTAAGTTTAAATCTTAGCTCTACTACCTGGTGGTTCTGTGACTACAGGAAGTTACTAGATCTTGCTGAGTTTCATCTCTAAATGAGAATAGTAATGCCTAGCTTCAAGGGGTTCTATGAAAATTGAGCATATCTAAAATTCTAATGTTAATTTTCTAATTTTTGCCTCAGTTTCTTCCTCTTCTTCTCCTTCTGCTCCTCCTCCTCCTTTTCTTCTTTTTTTGAGACAAGGTCTTACTATGTAGTTCAGATTGGCCTTGAACTCACTATGTAGCCCAGACCGGCCTCAAACTCCTGCCTCAGCCTCCTGCTGTAGGGTTAAGATTAGGGTCAGGGTTATGCAGTCCTCCTCCCTTAGCTCCCTGAGCGCTCGAATTATGGGTGTGCATCACCACACCCGTCTTATTTTTGCCTAAGTTTCTTGAAGCAGACAGACAAGAGTTAATAAATCAGGGAATGATGAAGTCATCTAAACCAGTGGTTTATTTTTTAAAACACAGAACCATATCTTGAAAGGAAATATGATTTTGATATGTAATTCTGATATTAAAAGCAGATCAAAATGGTGCTTCTTTGGCTGAAACTGTACTGTTGGTGTCTGATGGTTTGTTGAGGGGAACAGTTAATGTTTAAAAGTTTTTTTTTTAAATATTTTGACCAATTTTGCATGTTTGACTCTGGTAATCTGAGCAACTTATGTGACGATAACAATTTGCAATGTAATATCCATTGGTGAATTCCTACAATCCTGCCTAGTGACACTATCTATGTATTGTCTCTGATGTTCTTTTAAATTATTATTTTCTTATTCCCTTTAATGATTTGATCAATCTTCTTAAATCTGATAATCTGAGCAACTTTGTTAAAGATAACAATACGTAATATAACAACCACTGTTAATCTCTATCATTTGGTTTGAAACTCTGTATCATTTTTAATGTCCTTGCTTTGTGTTGTCTATATTTTGCTATTGTTCTTTTTTTGGGGGTACTATTTTCTTTAAAATAAAAAAAAAAGAAGAAAAAAAAGCAGAGGTCAGAAGGAGAAAATTTAGCTGTCTTCCACCTTCTTAACATTTGGATTTCACAGGAAGCTTGTTCA